TGAAAAATCCCATTTCTTTTTAGCATCATTGTCAGTAAACATGAATGAAATTCTCCTTCTTAGTGCTTCAAATAATAGTGAAGGTAGGTGGCATATGCACATTTGTAATTTATGTGACAGTGAATTTCAAACCTGGTAAATATACAAGAATAATGTTCTTTTCAGTTGCTGACACAGCCAGTGACACAGGTTCCACTCTCAGTTCGAGTTTAATCCTCCAGTTGCCAATCATATCACCATGGAGTTGCATTGACTAATAAAATTAATGGTCATTCAATGCAGCAAGGCCAACCTTATCTTGTGTACATCTCTCTGTTTGTTCAATAGTCTGATAAGAGATGTTTAACATGTGACTTGGAAAAAATGAGAAACTTGGTCTCATCAGATGGTACAAGTAGAAATTTGTTACATATTTTGCAGTCAATGTGATTCTAAATTTCTCTGTTGACCTCTGTTATTATGTGACCATAGACTCTACAATTTGACCAATACACATTTCATTTTAATATATTCTGATTTCTAATTAATTTTACTTAATTATGCAGATTATGCTTTTGATGTCAAAGAGCCAGAGTTTACTGCTTTGTCCAAGAAAGCTAAAGGTAAAACAGTGTGGAATAATAATTCCTGGTTATTAATTTTTGACAAGTTATTTTACTTCATTGAATACATGTCGTTTTCCATAAATCCAGAAAAGGAAGCTTGGATAAATTTAAGAATTAATACATGCACTGGTATTTTAAGGGTAATCCTAGAAATTATACTGCACTTTGTAATTGAATTAGTTTTGTTTTGATTCACACAAGAAAAAAAATTAACAAAGTATCAGTGTTGGATCTAGGGGGAGGGTGCAGGGGGTGCGCACCCCCGCCCCCGGTGAGATGACCTGCGGTTTTCTAATACAACTAGTATTCTGCAAAAAAAAAAACAACTATGTGGTTTATTGGTGTTGAAGTAGAGCAAGAAACGAGTGCACCCCCTCCTAAAAAAAATCCTGGATCCGCCCCTGAGTATAAGTAATTTGTTATATGAAAATCTCTAGGGCTAGTGTCAGAAGAAAAATACAAAAAATCCATCGTTACTTTGTCGTAGATTGCATAGAAATCAATGTATTTGAGAAGAAAATGAGTATACATGTAATTAACAAACAGGTTTAATGCTAAAGAAAAGCTGTACTTGCCTTGGTGGAATCATTAATTGAAAATGGTATTTAATTTTTTTGTAGATCTTAAGGCCATTTTATCCAAGATACCAGCAGAAATTAGTAACAGACAAAAATTTCTACAAACAATAAAGTAAGTAGCCATGTGTACAACATTATTGAAGTGGTGTCTAGAAAATAGGTCCAATTGACTCCTGATATAACACTAGATTCTAGAATTAGAATTTGAGTTGTGGTGACAGATTTCACTCCAGTGATACCCTTAACAATATTGTTCAATGTGCAGGCTTGATTTCACCTGTTCCAGTTTTCTTATTCAGGAAAGGACCCTGAATTCACCATGCATATGGGCAGCTTTTGCCAAAGTGTAGTTTTTTTCTGTGAATTTTTGAAGTTTAATAGTTCTTATTCTCAAACAAATGGAAATAGGGCTTGTGAAACTAACTATACCATTATACATTTTTCCCTGTATACTATGCATTGTCGCATTGACCTGCAAATGTGCTGAGTAAGCAAATTTTCAAGAAGCCGATTCACAGTATATGTCATTCTGTCAGCCATGCTTGCATGATACATTACCCAAATTTGCACTTTTGAGAGTTATTTTTATTGTATCTTTCGACGTGGGCTAGCACCTTTGGGGTGGGGTGGGGTGGGGAATACTCCCTCCCCACCTGAGAGGATACTAGCAAGCTAATCCTCTCACAGTGGAGCCTGTTGTTGTTATATAGCAGCTGTGTCATGAAATAATTAAAAATTGAAGCAATGGGAAACACCACCAATCTACGTGGAAGATAAAAAATAACCACTCAAAACATTTAAAAAGGGCATAAATGACACAGCTAAAGTAAAATGAGGAACAGGTAGACAGACTGAAAAGAAGATATTTGAAACAGATGGCAGTCGTGCTTTTTGAAAACGTGTTAGCCCAACAGCTTACCAAATTTCATTTTTGTTGTTTGTAACTTTTGATAAGGTTTGATCTAGTGCTTGGGAGTCATATTGGTTTGATGCAAAGCTATGATTTTGTCATTCACAAGTTATTTCTCGAGTTTCATAGCAAATATGGACGTGTGTACTTGATATTATTAACAAAATGAAAGTAAAACAGACAACCGTGACACAAGCCCTTTAAATAAGTAAAGTTTTTCCAATGCTTTAGGGATATTGCAACTGCGATTAAGGACTTACTTGATGCTGTAAATGAGGTGTTTAAGAACTGTCAATCAGTTGGAAAGATGCTTCAGTATAAAGAGGTATGCTAAGTTTTAGGAGTATAAATGCTCATCTTTTCTCACCAATGATGTTGGACACCTTCCACAGTGACTGTGTTTTTGTTGGAAATTCTTTGTGTCAATTTTAAAATAACAGTTCAAGGCATTGAAAGTCCTTGAAAATTGCAGTCGGTGCTGGAAAGTCCTTCAATTTCAATCCTATATATAACTTCATAGTTTAAGTAGAAATCCAAAGAGAAAGGAGCAAACTCAGAAAGACCCTCGGGATAAAATTACTCACGTTATGGAAGAACTAAAAAGGACATAGACTCAAGGTTCATTTTTGCACTGAATGGAGTCCTGGAAAAATGGGAAATGTAGCCTTGAATGTCCTTCAAAAGTCCTTGAATTTATTGTTAAAAAAGGGTACCAACCCTGCAAACCGGTCCTGTTGGAGTTGAAGCTTTGTCTTGTCCAAAAATTTTCTTTTGTTCCAACAAATTTACGTAACTGCTGGCCACGTGCTGAGTGAAAACGCTCTGTTGATCGAGACGTTTAGACCGCCTACTGAGGTCTTCCTCGGTCGCAACGTAGTGAGAAAAACGGTAAACGAGCCCTTAAAACAACACATTAATCGTATTACTGTATTGTGTTTATTAATCTGTCGTTTTTTCTCCTTTAGGGCCTGGAGAGGAACAAGAAAGAATTTGTAAAATATTCTAAAAATTTTAGTGACACTTTAAAGCAGTACTTCAAGGATCAAAGGTAAGCTATACATTACTACCAAAACCAGTAAAGTAGAGAACTGGAGATGAGGTTACTGATAGGGCTCCGGTTCTGATCCCCTTCCCCGTGCTTGTTAACCGTTATCCGTTTTTAGTAACGTTTGTAAAGAGACGTAATCATTTAGTTGTATTTTCACTGTGCGAACGAGACCCTCATGGGTTACTGTGCACTAACTTACTTTTACTGTTGTACATAATTTTTTTTCTTGAATTTATCACTCGTGTTTGTGTTTGCAGTGTTAAATTCAAGGGCGCTTTCCACTCTCCAGAGCTGGACGGTCAGACCATTCACGTCATAATGAGAATTTCACTTTTAATCAAAACTATCCAGTCACATCAGTCAAATCATAAATAGCGTGCACGAAGGAGAAGGCTTTTGTGCGAAAATCCTCGGAAAAAGCTTATTGCTTGTCAAAATAACTGGTCCGGTTATGGTCCGGCAATCCAGTTCTGATTTTTGGAACCGCCCTTAGTGTATAATTCATGTTTTTGCAATTGACCTTCCATGTTCGACCACCTCTCTAAAACGACCGCAACCACTTTTTTGTTTTACGGTTTCAGAATTTCCATTGTTTTCATACTCTTGTAAGCGACTACTTGAGGCATAGTTTGATCTCTTTGTTCGCTGAATGTAATTCGAGTACGGGATGAACCTAACCTTTAGTGACAACATGAAACTGTAGACATACCGTAACTTGAAAATTGCATGCAATGAATTTTCTTCCAAAATGTAGATGTGTTCGGACATCTAGAAAGAGATCCAACCTCTGGTTGGATACTCGTAAGCGACTACCTTCCGTAAGCGAGCACTAAATCTTCGAATTTTGAGTGGTCGCTTACGGAAGGTTGGATAGTACTTATTAGAGAGTTTTAGATCCGAGTTTAAAGCGAACCTCTAACCGCTGGAGTTCACGTAACAAGTCTTTCGCGTCACGTTTGAGGTTTACGACGTGCGTTTTCAACGTGGGGAGGTAGGTTTTCGCGTATGTCATTTACCTGAAAGCTTTTAGCGTATAATTCTTGTTTTATCCCACGTAATGACACAAAAATCTTGTGGAGCAAGTCTTTAGCCATTAACAGATGCACACACTCGAGCGAAATGCTAAATTTGATAAATCCTTTTGGATCTTGAAAACGAGTACCATTCATGGCTGCTGATTCAAAATGGTGGCCGTAAATTTGCGAGAACTACTGTAAGAATTTACAGCTCTTTGTTGCTAGATAACCCATTATTAGCGTAAATTTCTATTATTTTCACTGATTGATATTTCCTCTATTTCTAAATGGAAAAATAAACCAGAATCCATTTCTTTAATCCACCGCCAATCTAAATCGAATTATGTTTGAACGTCGAACCGCAAACGGGTAACCGCAAACCGCGGTTAGAGGTTCGCAGTAAACTCGGATCTAAAACTCTCTATTATTTCCATTTGTTACTTATTGAATAAACGTCATTCTCTTGCGTAATTCTGACTGTCATTGTTCTTTTTCAGGGCGGAGGCAGTATACATTAGTGCCAATAAACTCATCAACCAGACAAACCACATCTTGTACATGTTTAAGCTTGCGGGAAGCTCGTGAAAATTTCCTAGGGAGCTCTGTACAATACCGTCCACTTTTGTAAAATTTTAATACTAACTTGTTAGATTAACTACAATAAGGAACCAATCATTTTGTATAATGAGGCTTTTGTAGCTAGGTGAGGGTCTAAATAAAAGCTTTATTTGCTATAAAAGTCAAGTCAAGACTTCTTTCTCTATCTGCGATGTTAGTAAAAATGTAAAGTGTAAAGTGCACAAGGCGGGGGCAGGGGTACGGGGGGGGATAGGTACTGAAGCTTATGCGGGTTCTAATGGGAGTAAAATAGCTCTGCCGCCAAAATTTTCCATGGAACCGCTTAAGTGAACCTACCCATAGGCTAATAGGTGCTCTGTTCGCCGATTCACCATTGCAAACTCCTGAATTTGCAATGAATTTGCAATTTCAAGGGGTTTTCCTTTCAGAAAACCGGACTTGTGAGACGATGATGATGATGATGATGGGTATGATTGTTCTTTTTATTGTTAGTGACAGCGTAGCTTGTTATGAACACAGTTCATCGTCAGATTTTAAGGAACACGTGAGGGGGATAACTGATGTCATTAGTGTGCGTATACGCGGTCTTTTTAGAGGGATCAGTACACTCGTAACAGCTGCGTGATTTTTCCCACCACTCCACACCAAGGCATCTGTCTTTACATTTCTCTTTACACTGTTCCGCCGTGATTTTCTCGCCGCCAAAGGAAGCTCGTCCAGATGCAGTGCACCACTGCGGTGTAAAATCAAGCCATGCAAGGGAAGCTGTCAAAGTTTAAGGAGATAACTTAAACCGGAAGAGACCCTTCCACGGTTTTTTAAACTTTTTAGATGGACCAGTTACGGAAAACCGGTCGGCACGACTGGAAAGAGCGCCTTAAAATTAATAAACTTGCCAAGTTTGAAAGTCACACGTCTTAAGCGAGCGAAAATTTACAGTCGTTGGTATGGGGGTGGGGGGGGGCAAGTTTGGGCCCCCACCATATAAACATCTGCAAAATTTAGCGACTTTGAGGAACTATATCTTCGTTAGTTTTCAACAAATCACTTTCAAATTTTGCAGTTTTTACTAATTTTAGGACGCTCCAGTGGTGTCAACAGATTTTCCCTAACTTGTCCATGTAAAAAGTTGAAAAATACCGTTGGAGAGTCTATTCGTTTGATTACATAAATTTACATCCTGGCCACTATCTATCACAATCTTATAATGTTTGACGCCAATCATACACCCTGTCAGCAGAGCTTTTCTTTCGCTTACTCGATTAAATAACTCTGCTTGAATCGAGTAAGATCTTTGTTGAGCATGCGCTTCTTGTTGCTAGGATACATTTTCGAACCCAGGCCTTATACTCGTGCGCCGGTAAAAGGGGCTCATATTATGACTATCGGTATATTATTAAACGGATGCTCGTACCAGAAAAACTAGTTTGACGGGAGGGAACAAGATTGACTAGTCCAGAAGTTTGGATTGTGACGACTTCAAAGGCTTGACGCGTTTCAGGTAGAGACTCCTTTTCTTCTCGTTGATCAAGACGACAGAATGAGGCTCTGATCGCAGGGTGTCAATCATACTGATATTGCATGTGATATGATTGCCCAATCAGTCACGAATAATTTCTATGCATTATTTGTGACCGTTGTCAAACAAATTTAATCCCAGCAAAACAAGCAGAGTCTGAAGACGAAGCAATCTTGCTTTGGTCTTTTCTTTGGTACGAATTGATGTGTTCTGTAAAGAAACTTACCCACGGGATCTGGTGTGTCTTGTAACTGTGGGGCGTCAAGCTGAACCTAAAATAAAGAAAAGCCCTTAATGCTAATTGAAATATTTCCTCGCGAAACAGACGTTTTTAAAATTTGTCGCGCGCACGGCGCGTGGATAGTAGAGGCCTGTTCTGGTGGTTCTTGTATATTTCTATATATTTTTTGGTGTCCGCAATGAAGTCATCAAGCGACAAACTTGTTCTCTTGTTTATGGCCGTTGGGGCGATCAAGATATGCTTTTGGCTATAAATTTGGAGAAGAGAAGTATTTTGTCAGTGAGTGTCACTTTGCATACGAGTTTGCTTGCAGGTCGACATGTTTGATAGTTCCTCTGTCCAATATGCGGTAATTTGAAATTCAGAAAGAGAAGAGAAATGGTAAAGTTGTAGTTAAGGGACAAAGAGGTCTTAATCGCATAACGGAAAACCTCTCCCGTCATGAGGCTTCCTCCATTAGCTATAGACTTGGTTTGGTAACTTTCGTAGAAAAATCACATAAAAGCGTAGAGTACGCAAAAAAAACCTCTCAAATACTGAAAGAATTCTTTATAATTACTACTAACTAGAACATTTTTTCTCCTGTCAATTCTTTCGGGCATAGTTATAGTGGCATAGTCCCCTCTACTAACTATGTTTCGGGGTATTTGCTTCTAGAAACAGAAAATGGACAACGCTTTAAATGAAGCAAGTTTAAAACTGGCAAATGCAGGAACTTGCAACCGAGACAGACCATTCACCATTAAACACTTAATGACTTAATCACCACACCCCACCTCCTTGAGCCCGGCTGTCAATAAAACTCCGGAAAACATGAGCTCCTCATTGTTATTAAGCATTCTTTCCCGAAGAAAAGGTTTACCTTACAATTGTCGCGTGATCGGAACCAGGCCTGTCCCGATTGTGCTCGTAAAATGCTGGAAAGGTGTTAACCGGAATGCCAAAAAAATTCTAAGTAATTGCCAAAGATCCAAAAATTTGCTACCTACACATTGATGGTTTACATCGGTCAAGAAAAATAGCTTGAAAATTACCTCTAAACATCAGAGTTGCTGGCAAATATGATGGGCGAAACCACTAGTAGCCCAAGCCCATTATGAGATCCCCAAACAACATTATACTTCTTCGGTAAGTAATTAATTATTCATACAAAAACAATTATAAATTCTAGGGCGTTGTATAAGATCTATTCCTTTTTTATAATTTATCGAAATGTGCATCAAATTTTTCCTTTTAACAGTTTAAGCTTACCTGTCGGTTGGTAAACACTCAGGAAATTCGATAAGCTTGAAGTTTTCTGTGAAATCGTTGAATTTTGGGAGGTTTGATATTTGCTCTAAACCTAATTTTGCCCAAAAAGGCAAAAGTTGCTCGAGGTTGCTAGAACCGAAAAAATTGCTCCTGACGGCAAAAGTTACTCAAAAGTTGCCGAGCGCAATCGGGACAGGTCTAATGGCAACTCCCTTCACAAACCTTGGTTCTATTTCATGATTCGAATCATATCGATCACCTAAGTAATTTCAGAAATGCCATCAATCGAGAGACGATTAAACTAAGGACGATCCGGACCATTGAGGCGATCGCTAGAACTCACGGGGGTGTATACAGCTATTTCAAAAAAGGTTGTCCGAAAAAATGAGCACGTGACAATCCCGAAAGGTAATATGAGATATGATCAATACATTGTTCCTAACGGCTGCAGCTGTCGAACCTACTTTTGTTGCTTTCCTTTAGCACTCGCAAACATATGTCCTTGGCCTCCAGTGTCATTCTTTCAAATTTCTTTGAATGACAGTGCACTCAGGACCACCCACAATACCTTTCGGTATTGTCGTGTGCACTTTTTTCGACAACCTTTCTCGAAACAGCTGTATGGGCTGGTCGTGCGCAACGTATTATAGATCGATCGCTCTAAGACAGTGAAATAATTTGAGACGATCTATCCGGACAATTGCAAATCAGCCCATATACAGACGAAAAATTTTGTCTGAAATGTGCATACATTAATATTGATTTTGGCTTTTGGACAATGACAACACGGGTGCAAAGCAAATATTCTTACCTTTTTGATCAAGTAACATCCTTTTAAAAATCCAATGGCGACCTGGCTGTTTAAGACATCTTCCATTTGCTCCCCAAAGAGTTCGCATTTTTTTTCCGCTTCAATGTAATTTGCCGTGTGACAATTCATTTCTTTGGCGCAGGCCATAGCACATGACATGGCATCTTGCGTGTAAATAGTGGAATTCAATTGAGAACCTACGATGGCGAGATTTTCTTCAACGGAAAAGTAAAAGCTCACATCGGCAGCCTGAATGATTTCAAACAGCAACAGTAAGGTAAAAGACGAATGGACATTTGCTAACGGCTCGTAAGAATGCATTTGTTGTGGACAAAATAGGTGAAACTCGAAGATTTCCGAGATAGAGGTTTCTTTTATTAAAACATCTATCACCTAGGTAGCAAAAACTCAGAAGTTCTACATTTAATGAATCTAACAATGAAAACAGTCATCAATTAAACAACTGTATTCATAACTGTGTACTTAATTCTGACAGTCATTTGATTGCTGAAAGCAGGATAAGAAAATGAATAAATAGGGTTAAAATATTCCCGACCGGTTTTACGCCGAGTTAATGGGTATATACAGCACTGCGGAGACAAAACCGAAAACAACGGAAAAAAAAGCTCAAAATTAAAAAGCGCTGAAGTAGCGAGCTTATACACTTTGCGGTGGACAGTGTCATTAAACATCGTCGGTTCAAAATCGTGTAATCAAGTTCTTCTATTTCTTAAAAGGTAGATCTTTTAAATGATATGAATGAGTTTTTACTTACCTAATGGGCCATTGTGTAAAGATATATCAATATTTTTTCTTTGTGCAACGGTCATGAAACACGGCTTACTTTATATGTACGCACATATTTATTAGTAAAGTTACATGAACTTATATTTTTAAAGTTTTCCGGTTTCTTTGTGTAAAAAAATGGTTTAATTCTTATATGTCATGTTAAATTCTTAATTCTTATTCAAAACCAGAAGTTCAAGGAAAATTATTGTGCTTCCAGTTGTTTGCGACCTAATTGTCACTTTTATATTTAAAACCCGGAAAAACAATAACGAAATTAGATAGGTTTTTCTGAAGACTATTTCCAGAAATTTCAAACAGACATGCGCTATGGGACCTACCACTTTCAATCCTTTTTACATCATTGAGAATTATAAATGAAATGCAATAGAACTGAACTGAAATGCGGCAGAAAAAACAACTCCCTTCAATCCTCCGGTGAATTAAGGAATGGGGCACTGCAAATTTGGTGGGTGGTGGTCTCTTTTAGTAGGGATTTTACCTTTCGCATAAAAAATTTTAATTTAATATCCTTCTTCCTATAAGTATTCATTTTTCACTATTACTAATGTGTTATCTTTATGTTATCTCCAAAACTTTTAAAATAACACCTGCAATTCAATTTATTTGCTGTCAATGACTATTGTCACAGAGTTTTTGGAATTAATCGGTGTTTTCTTAAATTACATCAACATTTTGTAAACTATAACCAAGAGAGTATAAAGGGGACAGAGATAGCCTGTGAACAGGCCTTTAATCGAGCGTTTTTTTCCCCAAACAGAGAGCCTAGCCTGTTCACAGGCTAGGACAGAGAAGGCATCCCCCATACACACCCTATTCCATAGGTAATTCGTCTCGAGTTATTTTTAAGACCACAGATCCCAAGGGGGATTAGACAACAGCCAATCACATAGCGCGAATGTTTTCCGCGTGGATGATCCACGCTCAGAGCCACGCGTCCTTCACGAATTGACGCAGAACAAAATGGCGGAAGACGCGGAGAGCGATATTGCTATTCGTCATTCGTTTTGTCGACGAAAACGGCTAAAGAGAGATTTCTGCTAAAGGTGTGTCAGCGAAACGGAAAGTAAAAGAGAATCGCCCTTCCTCTCTTGTATAGAGCTAACGGTACAGCAGGGAAATCCTTAACACACTGAATATTCTCTCAGGATCATTCATAATTGACAGTTTATTTATTTATTCTTTTATTAGTCTTTTATTATTCCACAAAAATAACACTTGGCGTCCTACTTGCTTTCTTGTACAAACGACCGGTTTCAATAGACCGGCGAAATTTCTCATTTTATTAAAACAGTGAGGTTACGACAACTTCGAGTTAAACTGACTTCACGGGTTGCTAAAGAGTCTAACGATTCCCTTTTCCCAGGTGACCGCCGAATCATTTCGCGTCAATATTAAGGAATGCTCTCGATCCCTTTACGCTTTCATTGCCTTTCGCCCGACATGTTTTGCACGGCGTTTAGTCATGCGAAACATCCACGCAGCGCGCGAGGTAACTTTATCCCGATTCTAAAAATAACTCGAGACGAATTACCTATAGAATAGGGTGTGTATAGGGGATGCCTTTTCTGTCCCCTTTATCCTCTCTTGCTATAGCATATAACGTTTCTTGCTAAGAGGGAGACTGGGAGAGAGAAAAATGACAAATAATTACGAAGGAGTAGATCATTTCACAATGCAAAGCCCGATTCATTTAGCTTATTTGACTGTAAATGAAATATTATTGAAGTAAAAACGATGGGTTCACATTCACTAAAGTGGTGTAATCTGCAAAGTCCAAATTTTGCATAATTATGTTCGTGACTGGTTACGTGATCTTAAGAAAGTAGTGCCTAAAGTCCAAAGTGGTTCTGGTCTTAATCAAAGCTTTTTAAGGTTAAAATTAAAGATACTGAAAAAAAACAGGATCAAATCATAAAACCCCGCATGTAACGAAAACCCATGCCTTACTTTATCTGAGTCATTTTTATTCACCCGTCAGTTCGTGCTATTAATTTTTATTACCACTCTCGTTTGTCGAAATTGAACTACAATCGTTCATACCTTACAGGTTGAATTCGTTGTAGTTTTGATTATAATTCACGTTCGGAGTAGCTCCGTCACTCCAAATAAAGACTGAATAATTTTCTAAGAGAAGACAAAACGATGATGATAATGATAACATCGATGATTATTTAATTATAAATATGATTAAGACGATGGTGTCTGTAACGGTGGTGATGGTGGTGGTGCAGGTGATGATGATGATGATGATTTCTAATGCTGCTGCTGATGATGATGATAACTAAATAGAAACTCGTACAATGCTTCTAAAATTTAATAATAAATAAATAAATTGCTGAAATAAAACTTTACATATTTTGGAGTTTAAAATGAGAGTGCAAGCCAGCTTAACGTCTATTTTTCTGAAATTAATAAATCGTGATGGAGAACTAATTAAGTAGATTCTCTCACTCGAAAAACTATGACATCACGATGAAAGCTTGACACAGGGAAATTTGTCTGTACAAATGAGACTAAAATGAACCTTTTCATTCCTAGCTTTTTGTCAAAGAAAGAACTTTCATTTTATAAAATCTTAAGAAATAAGTAGCACCGTGCAAAAGTTCTGCCAATGAGGTTTCGCCCCTTGCAAGGTCATTCAAGACAGTCCTAGATTCTGGATTCTACACTGTGGATTGCAGACTACTTGTCAATGGAACTTGGATTCCACATTCCAATCGTTAGCAGGCTTCTGGATTCCATTAACTTCCGGATTCCAAAGCCCAGGACTCCGGATTCCACGAGCTAAAATTTCCCACATTCCAGAATCATGGAGAGACTCTGAGAGTCATTTGAATGGTAACAACAAAGGATTTCCTCAACGTCGTAATTTGACGTTTTTTAGTGTGACGAATAATCTATCGACCAATGAAATTTTTCTTGAAGCGGAAGAGTTTTTTTTCAATTGTCGCTCTTAAGGAACACGTGAGGGGGATAACCAGGATCATTAGTAAACGTATACGGGGTCTTTTTGGAGGGATCAGTACACTCATAACATTTGCGCGATTTTTCCCACCACTCCACACCAAGGCATCCGTCTTTACATTTCTCTTTACACTGTTCCGCCGTGAATTTCTCGTCACCAAAGCAATCTCGTCCAGAGTTAGTACACCACTGAGGTGTAAAATCAAGCCATTTTAAAAAAGCTAGAAAAATGGAAGGCAGCAAAACTCATTAGCTTGACGCTTCTATACGCATACCGTGTAAACCGACTGTTTTTACAAATGGTATCTAGTTTGACTAGTTTTTGACCCTTTTAGAGCTAAGATAATTTTGAAATGAAAGTTTTTTTGTTACCGTCTGAGTCCCATTTGAGAAGCTGATTAATAGTTTACATATGAAACAGTATGAATACAATAAATGTCCTTATAAGCTCCCATTTCCCTATAAATGACTCTTATCTAATAAGCGTCCCGGCCCTCAATGTAAAAATTGGATTATTCACCCCTCTCTAATAAACGCCGGCTGTCTAATAGACGCCCTTTATGAGAATTAGTTTGTTTGTTTATTTTGCTTGTGTGTTTGTTTTTTCAGGAATAAACTCCCTTAAGCCTTGGATCCCTTTTGGCCGGGTGAGAACAAGGGAAAAAACGAACAGCTACTATATGATATCTACGACCTTTTCGAAATCTACTTATAATTGACGGTCCTCAAAGAACAGTATAATTTTTTTTTTGGTTAGCTAGTAAATATATAACACTTTATAATATATTTATCACTTTTATTTTCATCAAAGAAAATGCAACTTACTTGAGGTCTTTGCGATATGGCCTTGCTGTAAAGAGAGAGAAAGAAAAGATATCATAACAAATAAAATGAAAAGAGCGCATGCTCAGTCAAGATGAACTGGATGGTGTGTAAGTTAGGAGCTGTGCCTTTTAATGGGGGCATTAATCGCAATACGGTATAACGCCTTGTTTTTCATATTTTAGCAAAAATCATTTCCTGGTCAATTGAAAACGAGGAATTCAATCGCTTCTGAAATTGGTTTGGTAAAGCGTAAGTGCGTAACTGTACCCTACGGTTGTGTTCTTGTACTGCCACCACAAAATGAAATATAACTGCTGTCAAGTTTCTTTTTCTTTTTTTCAAAACTGGATTGTATACAGTTTGGTTTTTCGTCGATGTGAGGAAAGTGTCGCAGAACTTCCAGAAATTTCCCACCCACAGGATTTGTGTTGGAAATCCCGTATGCGTTTCTGTTCGCTTTTTTAACATTGTCGCTCATTTTCGCCTTTCTGGCCGCTAGCATTTCTCATTTTCTCACCCCCGGTATAAAATTTTTATGTTTTTCTTCCAACGACTGAATGACCTCCTTTGTTTCTTATCTCTCTCTTTAGCTCTTTCTCTGTTATCCAGGTCAATGTAGACACTCAGATTTAGTCGAAAGAAAGACTCGGCCTTGTTGTTGTTTACTTTCCCTCTTAAAGTCCGAGTGGCCATGCGATTAACCCGCGAAACGCGCAGGTGCATACACAGGCGACCCAGACGTAGCATGTCCCAATAACATGGACAAAATGAGATGAGTCGTCGAATCTCCCAAGAACTAAAATAGTCCAAAAGTCAAAATATATCAAAAGAAAGCTAACATACCTTTAACTAAACGTCTCCTTGTCTTTCCTGGCCGGTTAAAGCGGCAGTTTTTGAGTTTTGCACTCGTAGGCACTATCCACTAAAGAAGAATTACAAAATGCCACTTTAACCAGCCAGGAAAGACAAGGAGACGTTCAGTTAAAGGTATGTTTACTTCGTTTTGTTATATTTTGACTTCTCACCCCATTTTGTCCCTGTTTTTGACACACACTACGTCTGAGACGCCTGTGGTGCATAGATAACCAAATTTTCGTACCCATGGTGCTTCGCTGCGCGCGCTTCGCGCGCGCGAGTGCTACGCTATCAAGACTTTTCTGTTATTCGAAGTTGGTGAAGAATTCTTTTCCAAGACTATTACTATTATTGTGATCGAATTTAATTTTTAATTTTCTCCTTCTGGTTTATAATCAGTAAATTATAATTTTCTGGATTTCGCTGCATAGGTTGAAGCTTATTCGTTTATTTGTTGGTTTTAAGATGAAATCCACTAGGAAATTGAGTAATTTTAATGCTCAAAGTAATTAGTCATCTGTAATAACACCAAAGAATATTCCTCATGGAGTCCGAGAAAATGAATGTCAAATTTCACAAGAATTGTGAAACACAGGTAAAGTTCTGAAAATTTCATAAGTAAGATATAATTTTCTGAAATTTGACATTCGTTTTCTCGGGCTCCCATAAGAAATTTTCTTTGGTGTTATAATTACAGATGACTATTGCATTTTTAGTCCTTGAAAAATGTAAAAAAGAATGCGATATTGTTTAAAAGGACAGTTTTACGGTTCAGCGCATGCTCATTTATCAAAACATGAGTTGTTTTGTTGCTGGGACATGCTCTATTGTCTATGCAAGCAAAACGATCATGTCATTGTCCAAGTACCAATCTGCACACTCCCCTGACAGTCACTTGCACTTGATCAACTTAAATATTTGCAAATAGCTGTAAATTAATCAACCATGGAATAAAACCGTCGGGCAAGAACAAATTCAACGTTGGCAGTCTTGGCATAATCCACTGATTTTTTCTGCGATTATAATACTCCTCCATTCTACTTCAGGTTACTCTGAAATACACTTCTACTTTGCAATACACTCTGAGATCGCTGAGATAAATGTGAGTGGGATTATTAACCCGTTTTTGTCCACTGAAAATTGAAATTACTCTATTTCCCGATGAATTCCGTCTTAAGTACTTAAAAGTATATAAAATGAATATGGTAACTTTTCCACTCCTTGAAAAAAATATCATTCATTTTTTTCCAATTTCCCGAGACAATCAGAAGGCCCTGTGCTCAAGAACTACCATCAGTAACATCTCGCCGTGATTTAAGCTAATTCATTATAGAAACGTCTCTCTCCTGTTTCTGATTAATTAGTTGAAAAAATCGCTACATTTGAAGCGCTGCATGTAGTTTTGTTTTCAATCCGATGTCAGCTCGTAACTGAATCAAACATAGCAAATATTTCTTACCTTTTCTATGAGATAACATCCCCTTAAAGCAATCACGGCTGCTTGTGAAATTTCTACTCTTTCGTTGGAGAGTTCGCACTTTTTTTGTTCCACCTTGTAGTTTGCAGTAAAACACTTCACTTCTCTTGAGCATGCTTGGGCACATAATATGACATCTTCGGAATAAAAATTCGAAATAAATTGGGCATCTTCGATGGCGCTGTTCTCGTGCAGCGAGAAATAAAAGCTCACGTCGTTAGCTTGAATTATGTCAATAATTTGACACAACAGCAGGAACATGTGTAGCTGCGGGGTCTTATTAACTGTTGTTAACTGTTCGAAAAAATACATTTTTTTTGCACCTTTTATGAATAGGAAACAGTGGAGTCCTGTGGCAAAAGATGTCTTGATTCTGTCAAATTCGTAATGTTTTTCGCTTCTTTAGCAGATAGTACGATGCTTTTCGATTTGGCAGTTTAAACAATGAATAATTTTTGACTGATGGCCCGAGCAGGTGCAATAACGTTGCTCTTTTTGACAAGTAGCGGGTAATTAGCAGCCCCTGAGATGAGGAAGAAAACGGAAAAGTTTATAGCTTCTGCAGAAATCGTGTCGCTTTGAGGAAAACAGTTGTAACCGATTTCAAGTAAACTGACCATCGCTTAATCATGATCAAAAACTGAAAGTATGGGCGTTTGTCGTTAGCGATTTCGCTGAGCAGCGTAAAGTCATGAATCGAGAATGCCCTGGACGTTAGGTTATTACAAGGATATTAAATGTATTTCTTTATTTTACTTGCATCGGCATAATGTTCACTTATATCAGAAGGCTTTCTGTCCTTGCTTCGCAATTCTAAGGCATAAAATATTGCTTCCCTTTTTAGGATGACAACCTAATTGCCTAATTGTCTCTGACCACAGCTCTCAAATTAGAAACTGTACAAAATCCTGAAATTTGATACAAACTAAAGAGGCGGATTATTAGACGCGTTCAAAAACGATTCTGAAGCAAAATTCAGTACATGGATCTAATCAGCCAGAATCGCGATGACATTCGCCTATGATATTCGAATTACGCGATACCAATTAAAAACTGCGCTTAAATGTAGAGTAAATGTGTCTGCACATTGAAACCTTATTAATTTTTGCAGACAAACGAAGAAGTTACATTGCAATTATAATATAGCCTGTTTCAGGCTCCGAGATAGTGGTGAAAAATCGTTCAGTGAAAAAAAATGCGAAAAACGCGCGGGGGCTGGGCAGAGACAGGGCGGCAGAGCCTGCACGCACTTTTTTAACGGCCTGTTCCGGTATATCAGCTCCTGATATACCCTCTGATTGGTCAATTGTGACAGTTAACATCATCACCTAGTAGCGTGGTCATCAGTTTGTCATCACCAAGATGGCCAACGCGAATCGTGCGTGTGATCTTGATGAATCCGCGTTGTCTTGTGCTTTGGACTAGTGTTAACCTGAGATCAGGCGTTATTATTGTTTGTTTTTTTTCATTTGCCATGATCTCAGGCTAGACGAGTGTCTGCGACTTGGCTCGCGGTAGAGATGTTTTCGCTATTATACCCACCAGTTTCGGCAAAAGGTTAAACTTGCCCACGCTTGGCTAAAGCTGCTCTAACCTTAGAAAACTCTACGATAATAGTCGTTTCGTCGCTGATATCTATAATGCGAGACAAAGTGTAACACTGAATTTAAAAAGCTTGGACTTTCGGGCGCAGCTATTAATTAGCATCGGTAAAGAGGGAGAGGAGGACGAGAAGAAAGCAAGAGAAGGAAAGTGCTTTCGGTAGTCCGAAGTCCTGGCTGATCACAAAGCGGCAATAACAAAACAGTCCAATGACTGTTAAGCTTTAAAAAGCTATTACCAAGGGAGAAACCCGGGGGGGCACTTGGGTATTTTTTGGGTGGGTATGTGCCGCCCGGGACTCCAAATCACCCATTTTTTAAGGGAAAAGCCCTGGGGACGAGGTTGCAAATTGGCATCCCGTTTTAAAAAAAAATTTCCCCTAAAATTGATACCCCGTTCTAGATATGGGCCGATTTTTTATACCCCGTTCTAGAATTCGCCCTAAAACTGATACCCAACCTCGTCCCCAGGGCTTTTTCCTCAAAAAATGGGTGGGGCGGGAAAAGGCGACCTGTCGGCGACCTGTCATCGTTCCTGGCTGGAGGGCTGACTTACATCCGGCGCGGACTAGATTTGTTTGTTTCATGATCGGGTTGTGACGGATCTTGTTTACTGTGGGTAATGTCGAGATATCGGTCGACATAGCCGTCGATATAGCGGTCGACACTCCGTCGATAGTCGACCGATACTCGGCCGATAGTCTATCTCACTATCGACCGACTATCGACCGACTATCGACCGACTATCGACCGACTATCGACCGACTGTCGACCGACTATCGACCGACTGTCGACCGCTATATCGACCGCTATGTCGACCTATATTTCAGTCGACATTACCCACAGTAAACAAGAGCGGGTTGCATATAAATTAGCTTCTCAGGAATATTTAGCCTGCCACGTGACCAGCCGATGCCAGGGCCTTTTCCCGCCCCACCCACTTTTTGAGGGAAAAGCCCTGGGGACGAGGTTGACTGATACCCCGTTCTAGAAATAAGCCAATTTTTTATACTCTGTTATAGAAAGTTTGTAAATTGAAATAGCCCTGTTTTTTAAAAAAGATATTTCTTTATTTGTTCGACTTATACATCAAATAAATGCTTCTTCATAATCAGCAACAATTAAATAAATAATTTCAAATGGCTGCTAACAAAACTGGAGCTTTCGTGCGTTCGAAATATTATACCCCGTACTAGAAAACGCCTCTGAAATGGATACCCCGTTCTAAATCAGGAGTTTCAAAATCACGACCCCGTTGGGCGGCATATACCCGTATAGCTAATGTATGGGAGTACCCCCCCCCCCCCCGGGAGGGAGAAACTACGCGCTCCAGTCAAAAGACTCATACTATTATAAGAGAAACACTAAGCTGGAGTTTACTGAGTCACAATGCAATTCTCCTTAGTTGATGTAGCTTAAGAGTAAGCTGCACTTCATTCTTATAATTCGGGATTTGTAAATCACTATCCGTAATAATTTAGCATTCTGCAAAGAAAACTAACGAGCTTGGCCCAGCGTGATACAACATTGCAAAAACATTACATTCACGGACTAAAGAAAATCACTTAGTTAGTCAGATCCAGAAGGCACTTTGGAGAAAATTAAAACCCTTATTCAGCCGCAATAAAAAGCTTTATGTTCAAAAGAGGTCAAAGAAAATGCTCTCTCATCAGAGGGCAAATCCTGGTGACCAGAAACAAAAGCCACAGTAAATCGATATGTGTGCCACGACCTCTCAGTGTGAAACAAGCGGCTAAAATCACGTCACATTTGCTCAGCGAAAATACAAAACCTTCCAGAGCATAACCTACCCAACAGAGGAAAAAACTTACCGCCCCCTGTTATTACTATAAAACCTGCAGCACTTTGAATGATCGAGTGCGAGATTCGCAGACACCGTTGACGAATTCGTAGCCTGCGAACAGCAGATGTATTTCTGGTCGTCGCTTCGGCGGGTAAAAAACTAGAGCCGAAAAAACCGGATACTCTCACAGGATAACGAATTCGAAGACATAAATTTCCACACATTCGCACAAGGAGTTCGCGTCACGCGAAATGCTCGCTCGAGAAACTTGAGAATGATTGTAGCTAACTGAAGTGTTAACAGTTTTGACAGCTGAATCCAGACGTGACAAAAATGGGCGGAAGAGGGTCGTTAAAGAAATGCTAACAGGCTCTCTCTCCCATTTTTCTCGCCGCCACCGCCCCCTTTCCCAAGTAGCGCGCGTCTTATTTTCGCTTTGCTCGTTTTAATACGTCCGCACTATACTATCTGAGAGCCTGGCACAGGCTATAAAAATATTGCTGGTTTACACGTGACGTCACGGCGGCCATGTTAGTGGTCAAAAACAAAAGCGTGAGGAGGATGTCAGTTTGGTGGATGGAATCAAGTGTAGGCCGACGACCTGTTATATTGACCCCCAACATGGCCGCCTTGTCAAGTGTTGCAAACCAAGAATTCTTAATAATAACTAGAACAGAATCATATAGATACTCTTGTTTTTTGGCCATCTTAGCTCAAGAAGAAACAAAAAGCAAACTGCGGTGATAAACATAAGGAAATATAAAGGCATTTCTGGAAAGAAACTGAAAGACTTTAACTTGACGTTTCGTATGTTCCAACAACACATACATCAGTTCTTCAGAAGTAAGAAACTGTTGAATAACAACAGAAATTTAAATGTAGAATAAGTAACTAATTAAAGAAACAAAATATGACACATAGTAGCAATATTTGCATATGAAAGAAAAGGTATGCAAACTAAAAATACGTAAAGTTTTTCACCGCTGACATTTTCATAAAAGGAAGGTTCGAAATCCCTAATCAACAGAGTCTCCTTTCAATCTTTCAATGTCCGACCTTCCTCTTGCCAATATTTCGAAATGGTCTCATTTCATGTAGTCTGCTACACAGCCGTTTTTAGTGTCGTCACGCAACGCTCCTCCCAACAAACGGCCGTTATAATTAGTAGGGAGGAGCGTTCCGTGACGACTCTAAAAACGGCTGTGTAGCAGACTACATTTCATGTTATGACCAGCTGACGTGACATGGTCGGCAATAGCCCGGGGGTGAGGTATGTGCCGCCCTATCGGGTAGGGTTTTTGCGCTGTTTTGGTCTGAAAACGGGTATATGCTTTGCCCATTTTGGTCTGGAATCGAGTATGGGTTTTGACGGAACTGCGGAAGTGTATGAACGTTTTTATCGTTTCAATTGCAAATGAGTAAGAAAGAAAGAAAAATATGCAAGTTCGTAGTGGATTTGAAGAATTTTTTGTTTGCGCTCTAACTTACTAATGATAACATAATTTCTGGCTAAAGGCCAGGTCAGAAAACGGGTGTGGAAAATTACACTTTTTGGTCTGAAATAGGGTCAGGATTTGGAGAACTGGGCGGCACACCCCCACCAAAAATTCCTAGTAGTACTCCCCCCCTGGGGACAATAGCAGGTGAGTGATTGCTACTAGTCAGATGCACTGAGGTGCTCCGTTTTCCTGTCATTGAATCTACGTTTAGTTTTACCTATGTAGAACTCCAGGCCGTCCCAACAACTAGCCTTATAAACAACCCTGGAAATCGTCTCCCTTTCGCGCGCCCGTTCTGCGCCCACTACTTCCAAGCGTCATTACTGTGTCCCGCAAAACCTCACGAATCTCGGACGAATAAGGAGATCTGGAGTAATCTTTGTTGGCCGGGATTTGGGAGGATAAGCGAGATCCTTGGTGTTTGTATACGCTGTCTTCTTTGAAGGATCTGTACATTCATAACAACGGCGCATATTTTCCCACCACTCCACTCTAAGGCATTCGGATTTACATTTCTCCTCACACTGTTCCGCAGTGGATTTTCCGGAGCTGAGAGAAGTTCGTCCAGTTTCAGTTCACCATTGAGGTGTAAAATGGAGTCATTTGATAGAGGCTAGACTTGTAAAAAAAGAGAGACTTATCAGCTTTACGTTCATATACGTAATTACTAGGTAGATCTAAGTAAACTTTTTTTTATCTGGCCTTTCTTGTTTAAGACCCTTTCCAGCTAACTACCATTGTACTTTTGTGTTATTTCTTTCCTTCCAGATGCATAGTTCCCGTTTTCATTCTTAGCTTTTTACCAGCACCTTTTAAACGCGTGAAACCGAAATATCAACTGTGTGGGGAAAAATAATAATCGAGACTTTTTTAAAGTGTCGCCAGCCTGTCATTTCAGTTCTGTGTTTGTTTTAGAAGTTATCTGAAGATTCAATAGTTTGAAACCTAAGTAACATGCTCTTGTTTAGAGATGTGGCAGTTATTTCAACGAGTCTTAAAGGCATCGCTACACGTATTTTTCGCTTTCTCTTCGCTATTTGAACGCCTTGAACAAGTAATTAGAAAATCCCTTACAAAGATGTATAAGCCCAGGGCTTATATCTTCGTCGAGGGCGTTAGTGCGGCTTTGAAACCAAGGCGCAAAAATCCGAGGGAGCTCGTGCCCGGAATAAAGAAAGCGCCTCAAAACAAGCGACAGCAGTGCTGATTAAAATACTTTTTGCACTCAAGGGAAGTCTTGCAGAAAAAAAGGTATAATTTTAATGACAAAAATATCAGTTAAGACATTAAAGTGGACTGGTTTGTTTGCTATTACCCTCGCTTTTTTAGTTTAAATTTAAATTTGAATATTTGATTTCGGGCCGGAGAAGTAACCGGAACTTTCGACAAAGGGACCCCCAGGGAACTACCGTATTTATTCGATTAAACGCCGCCCTCCATCAAACGCCGCAGATGGAAGAAAAATTACCAATAAACGCCGTCCTCGAATAAACGCCGCACCTAATCAGAAGGATGCGGTATTTACTCGAGGATAATAAGAAAAACCTCGGTAAAACGTGGTAATTTACACCATCCACACATAGACCTATTCGGCTAACTCAATGTTGTACCCAATTCAAATCTCCTGGGGTTAAGATTCTTTGTAAAATTGTATTTGCATAATAACATCTGGAAATTCTTGAAACAAAAAGTTTTATTTCTGTTTCAAGTAGCCGAATAAAATTCTGTTTCAGTAAAATAAGGGAGACACTGGATCCTTTTAAATTACATAACATTTACAAACGATTAATAGTAACTGTGGTCAGTTTAAAAAAAGTGATTTCGAAATAAACGTCTCCCTCGAATAAACGCCGCATTGGAAATGCTACAAATTTAATAAACGCCGCGGCGTTTATTTGAATAAATACGGTATCTATAAGCCTTTCTGATCACAGGCCGCTCAAATAGACAAAATTTGGTACATTTTAACCGAGCCGGAAGGAAACCGTTGGGTTTAATTAATCCGATTCACACAAATTGCTGAAATTGTACCTCGTTTTAAAGCTGAAGAGGCTTAGATATTTGTAAAAATGGCTTTAAATTAGGGGTGGTATGCACTTTAAAGCGAGCATATTGTCCCAGTCCCCCCGCCATCAGTCAACCTTGCACTATACAATGTAGTACAGAGGTATTGCTTTTCACTAGGTCAGGAAAATTCAGTTCAATGTAAATTCAGCCCGGCCTTGTACAACTGACGACTTTATTCTCAAAGAAAAAGAGAATTATACATACGTTGACATCTGCAAATGTCATACCATTGTATCCAAGTCGAATAAAACACCTTTCTGCATTTAATGATTTTTGGTTCAGAATTGCTCCAAGTTGACCCCAGAGCCAGTTATCAAAAGGACCGGGAGAGGACTGGGCTTGACACTAACTCTTAACACTATTTTCCACTTGGAAAAGAGTATTTCAAAAACTTAGCTTCCAGCTCAACATTTTAATTTCCAAAATGTACCACAGAATGATTTTTGCTTATCACAATGCTTTTTTCTCACTATGTCTCAAGGTTTTCTTCTTACTTTACAGCCTACAGTGTTTTAAAGGGATTTCTGCCACTGTGAAAAATCATTTATGAAACACACATAGCAGTATGATAACTTAATGTGTGCTTAATATCGGCCAGCAAAGACCTGCTTGAGTTACTGTGACATTGTTCACCTGTAGAGTTGATAGTCATAACCATTGCATGTTTGCTTGGTTTATGCGAAGTGCAAGAAACTTTTGTTGTTATGGTGGTTGTTTTCTTATATATTTAAATTAACTAGTTTCACATATCTGTAACATGTCAGATTCAAATACAGCTGAAGCCTGCTTTACAGACACCCGCTTAATACGGACACCTTGTTATTAACCCTTTAAGTCCCAATAGTGACCAACATCAATTTTCTCCTAACAATATCCATGCATTATCAAGAGATTAGGTTATGAGAATTAATAAAATGATCACCCAAGAGAAAATGCTTTGATCTTTTATCAAATTCTCTGTATAGAGATCAGTTTGGAGAATTTGAACATGTATTTGGGGCTTAAAGGGTTAAGGACAGTTTTCTTGTCCCTGGGAAAAGAAAGCCCTTACATTGTCTCTAAATTCAACCCGCTTAGTACGGACACCTCGTTAATATGGACACTTTCTATGGCCCCCTCAGTGTCCATATTAACGAGCTTTGACGGTAAATGCGAGGAAGGTCATCGTAGTAAACACAGACACAACTTATGCAGTTAAGAGAAAAAATTAAGTTCAATTTTGTTTTTTTTTAATTCTCCCATGGAAATTGGCCATTTCTGAGATACCCTAAGCCTCTTTTCAAAGTGACCTTAGTACAAAACCATTGATATAAATTAATATTATTTTTCTTTCTCATGCAAACAAAACTCAGTTCTGCACTTAGCCTCGTTACGAAAGAAAGAAGTTTTTCAACACGCAAATGGCCTTTTTGTTGAGTGTTAGTGGCAAATATAAAGTCTGGGTCAAAATACAAGGTAGCTCTGTGATCAATAAGATGGAAATTCAACTGGCAATAAAATGAATCTTACAGAAAAGTACAATTTCAAAGAAAAACTATCAACTTGGAGCAAGTCTGTCTTCTAGTTAAAAATAATAAGCCCTACTCGGAGATAATTGCATCCAGCGCTTGTTGAATACATGTACATGTACCAATATTGTCCATACCATGTGGGTAAAAATGGCAGAGCGCAATGGGTGAAAAATAGTTAACCAATGTTGAGACCAAACCCAAATCGTGCCTGATTCTTAGCGTGATTCAACATTCCACTTAACACAAAGGTAAATGGCAAAGGCGGAAGTCTCTTTTCCATAACACCCGCTACTGTCCAATTTGTGTCCACCATTCCTCTAAAAGAAATATTGGATTTGGGTACTTCAATTTGATATCCAGCACTAACAGAACTATCACCACCCCTCGTGTTGAACTCATACTCCACACCGACTTTTACATTCTCATTCCCCTTATGCCAATAGCTTAGGTGCCATCCTGTTTGACCAACCGTTGCTGAAGCTATCCATCTGTCTGCTGTGTAACGACCAGCAAGAGACATCATGGCCGCTTCTTGAGCTCCATAATGGTAAAGTAACTCCCCTCCTATGTCGATGCGTGGAGCCATTCTCTGAAGATAGTGTGCCACAACGATTCCTGAGCCATTAACAATATCAATATTTGCAGTGGTTATGGTGGCAGTGAAGTCATTGCCTCTGTACTCAGCATCGCTTTGAACAAGAAGCCACACGGATTTTTTTGTCTACAAAAAGCAGAATCGATGCATCATTGTCAGTGCCACATAATTTGCTATGGTTAATGTAGGCATGGGTCACTCTCAGGTGTATTGAAACCCCCTCGAAACGACATTAGAAAACAATAAAAACGTTTTCTGCATTTACATAACCTTATATAAACACGAGAGGGTGTTGTAACCCTCCAAGTTGTGACCAATTTGGTCACCATGGTGCCTAACATTTGGGAGCTGGCAACTTGATTTGTAAAAAAAGTCTCCCTAAACCAAGAGTTGGTTGCCAAATGGTGACCGAGCAAAACCTGTAATTTGGAGGGTTGTGTTGGGAGAATTTGAGACAGTTATGCAAACCCAAGACGAAGTTTGCGTTTTGAAGCTAGTTGAGTGGTTTTCTGGTCACTGTCATGCTATAAAGAGCTAAAAGTTACCACAAAGCCATTAACAGGAAATACACTTCGCGGCCTTCTGATCCAGATGCAAAATATTAGCTTGTGAAGTTCAGGCATGCGCAGTTTTTGGGATTAAAAGTGACACGGCAGTCTTGACTTAAACATTTTGCTTTCTCTTCTCCCCTCATTTTCATTTTTTTGCCTCATTTTTTTTCTTATGCTGGGGATTTAGTAGGCTTCATTTTGGTGGGAAAAGTTTTTGGGAAAGCTTTTAGGATCTTAGGTTCAGAGGAAAGGAAAGGTAGGTCGGTAGACTGGAACAAGTATTCCCAGACCCATAAGGATAGTTCTAAAAGTTTTCCAGTTGTATATAAAGTAGATTTACAGTTATAGTTTAAATATTTCCTGACCCTTTACCTGAATAATGGCTTTCCCTCTGATGCGCTCCGTAAACTGATGAATAATTTGAGCATTAAGACTACCATTTAAATCTATGTCTCCAAGCAATACTGGAAATGCCTGAAAACAATCAGAGAAACTTCTTTAGACAGGTGCTTGGGCAAAACAAGTTTAGTTTCATCACTAATGAAACATACACACTATGTAGTTCATTAACACTTGCTGTTCACACTAAGTGATCCTAAGTAAAAAACATACAGTCGAACCTCCCCTAATAGATAAGCCTGGGTGCTTGTGCCTACAGGTTTGGTGGAGCCAGGCAATTCTCTAGCACAAGGATGTCTCCATAGTAACTCTGCGAGTGGCTCCCACCAGGCAAGGTCACACTGAACTGCTCAGTGGAATACTTACTGTCACACCAATAATTCCCTACTGTAGCCCTAACTTGAAGAGGGAGGGAGGGTTGGGAGAAACACAGCACGAAAAGGGTAAGCAAAAAACAAGGCTATAGTGAAGACACTTTACGAAGAAGTGAAACTAGCAAGCAACTGTGTATACAAGTCAAGATGTGCCCCTGCAAAGGGCATTGGGCCACCCCAAGTATAGTTGGGGAAACAGCTGACCAGCACTGGTTCAAGGTTAACTTGCCTAAATTACGGTTAGCCACATGTAAGCAACCACCCAAAATGCAAGACTTAGCGGTCGCTTATACATGTAGGAGGTGGTCATTTACAAGAATCGAACCACATGGGGTTTCTCAGGTCTAGACACATCTACTCTATGGTAGATAATTTATCACATGCAATTTCAAAGTTATGATAGGTGTAGTTCCATTTTGTCTCTAAAAGTTCTTTCGATACTCTAAGTAGCAAAGTACATACAATGAAAAAAAAAGTCAGACCATGTGTCAAGTAGTCATTTACAAGAGGTTAAAAATGATGGATAAAATATCAAACTGTCAGCCCCGAAAAGTGGTTGCAGTCGCTCACAGGAGGTGGTTGTTTACCAGAGCTTGTAACTGTGAGGCTTTAAGTAGGAAAATTTTGGTGTTTTGGATGGGTGGTTACTTATGGGAGGTGGTCGCTTACGAGAGGTGAATGTACACAGGGGTCTGACTCTGTGTTTCATAAGGAGTACTTTTACGGGCACGTTGAATCACAGTAGAATTATTTTGAATACTCAGATTGCTAAAAAATTGTTATTTCAGACAATTTTGAACAAGATCCAGTTTTTTCTAGCACAGTCGTTTTGATTAATGACTCGAGTGGACATGACCATAATAGATAAACTATTCATTCTTGTTTGTAACTCCCACAATGTATGCCAGAGTGTCAAATGTTAAATCCTTCATTTTCAAGTTTCTGGGTATATGTATAAGCAATAAGTAGGTCGGTAACAGATCAGAACAGCTAAGAACTTCTTTAGTTCTATTTTTCTTTTTGTTACCTACAAAGCAGCCAGGGGACATGTTTATAGCAGCCAGGAGAATTCCCTGGCCCCCGGTGTGCCCTTAATGGCTGCAGCCCCGAGCACTATATGAAAGTACATGTAAAAGACTACTTGTACCTCATTAGGACCTGTTTGCTTGTTTCCAACATAAGTAGCTCCGAAGTGATAAGCACCTGGTCCCATCCCACTCAGTTGAAGTGTGTGACTAACTTGAAAATGGTTGCTAAGACCTTTGTTAATAGCAAGCTTACACCCTTCAAATGGCTGAGGAAAAACATCTGCAAGTAAAATAGGTCTCTCATTAATAATATTATTTTCATTTGAGCTATGATGCTACTGGCAGCACATTGCACACGTTACATTAAGTTTCAACTATAAATCAGCAAATATACCAATAATGAAAGGGGGTTAGCAGAATTAAGTCCTCAATGACTTTTGATGAGCTGATTCACCAGAGATGTAGATAATAGTTGGGAGCCGGGGAAAATACCCAGCTGTCAACGTGATTTTTTCGAGCTGAAAAAGATTGCAAGCTTTATAAAGGCAACTGTTTTCTTCTCATAATACCCGCCCATCGAATGCCATTTTCCGTCTGTTATTAAATTTAAGCTACAACCCTGTTCACTCTCCTTCTAAATCAAAATTTTGATTTTAACCTGTGGTATTGTGGTTTTACACGACTAAGCAGTTTGTGATTTTGTATAAGATTTGTTGTAATTTTTGATCACGCCACATTGCTGTTTTGTTACATTTTTGGGGGGCAGTTTTGCAGTTTTTTCAACCCCATTACACCCCCTCTACATTTGGAAATGTACAACCAACTCTCTCCGAGATGGACACCCATAAGGCTGACCTTATGTGTCTGTCTTAAAGAGGGGTCCGTCTAATTCAGAGTCAACTAAAAGGAGTAAAGAATCAAAGGCAGGGACCAACTCCATGTGTCCGCTTTGAGAGGGCTCTGATAACTCTTAACGGACTCTTTTTATCGAGGACTCCGTTAAAAGAGAGTTGACTGTATTACAAAGAGACCTTCCTCCTGGCATGGAGTGGAAACCCTACAAAATGTCCGTGTGTCTAATCAACAATATGGTTAAAAAATAAAACCTCGGACGCCCTTTATCTGGGTCTAAAAACCTCTCACTCACTAGAAAAATCCTCTGTACCGAGGAGTCTAACGTTAATATAAGCTTGAATTTGTACAGAGATCACAAAAGTTGCAGGGCAATAATAGGCCGAACTCAACACAATATCCATTTTACACTAGCGTACACTAAAATTTCGTGTCTATGTACAACTTAACACGACAGTCTGCGAGAAACGTGATTGGTATCCGTGAAAATTGAAGAAGCCGGTAAAGTTAGCGTTCCCACATACTAGTGCTTCACATACCCTTGCACGCCTTATGTAACTCTTCGTATGTTCCTGGGTTGTTCTCGGTGGATCTTTTCGGCAGCGATTTAGGTTTTTCTTCTATCGGAGGAGCTGCTGTGAGAGGTGGAGGTGGGGGTATCGCCGTGACATTGCTAGAAGATGAGGGATTCGGTGGTGAAGCAGCAAGAACGTTCCCCATCTTTAATCGTGTGAACCATGTGCAATAGCTGATGTGAGATCCTGATTGGCTGTTCGATAAGCTGCCATATTGGAAAACGTGAAGGACTGGGGACAACTGACATAGTAACTGTTTCTTACCGGTCTGTATATGCAATAAGGAAACGTCCTGCTTAGATTGTATTGAGAAAAGAATTATCGACGCTTTTTAAATCTTGTCTCTTTTCATTCAAGATGATTAACTATCATAATCATAAAAGTTTTTAAAGCAAAATTTTCATTGTACTCGTAAATCCTTGGACCTAATGACCTCAAGGGTATTCTAAGTTTTCTTATACGACGTACCAGTGAACAACGTGTAATATATCGCTGAGTCAACGAGGTTAAAAGATTTTTATGACGACAGAAACTAAAGAACCGCTTGTGAACGAGGTTAATGACGACAGAAACTAAAGAACCGCTTTTTCGGGACATAGATGGCGACGAAGGAGAAAATGTTAATACAATCGAGAGCCTCTGTATGTCCTGCGAGGAAAACGTAAGCTGCGATAGTTTCGTTGTCACTTCTAACCCCTAACCTGATGAATTGAGTTGGATAATTGCATTTTTGCTTTCCGTGGCGGGTGTAAAATACAGGTCTTATTGCACAGTTCAAGCTCCTTGTTTCTCTCTCCCTTATCGCATGGTGACTTCTCCTGTGAACTGAGGATTGCGTGACCTGTATTTTAGACTTGGCGTTTAACATGCTGCAACCCTTCCCCCCCACCCCCAACTCCTTTCCCCAGGAAGAGGACCGGTAGAATTCCTCAGGGTAAGCCTTAAAAGTTGTGGAATTCTTCAGGCGTAATGCAGAGATGCCAACCTCTGGAGATCTAAAATCTGGAGACTCTCTCTTTTTCACTCCCCCCCTCCTCCACACCCCTGACAAATATGGGAATGACTAAGGACATTATATGAATTCTTACATGAGTTACATACCATAAAAATTCGCGATCATCGTTTTGATGCCAGATATAATCTTTGTCAGTGACTAAATCAGTGCAAAAATGCCCCAGAAACCGTACTATGAATAAAAAAATTGAATATTTGACCTAAAAATAGAAATAAAATAGCTCAAAAGATGATTTTATCCGGGAGATATGGTGACCCGTACGGGAGACCTGGAGATTGGTGTCGTACCCAGGAGACTCCCAGATAATCCCGGAGAGTTGGCATGTATGGTAATGTAAAGTTGGGGAATTTTTAGGGGCAGAGGTGGTGAGGATACTAATTTTTAAGGGAACTCTCCAGGGCTGAACACATAATGTTGTGGACTTGTTAGGAAAAATTAAAGTGCCTTTTCTAAGACATTCAGGGCTAAACCCTTTTAATATAGAAGTCTTCAGGGTTGAGCACAATATTATTGCTGTGTAGGAGGGAGACAGCTATGAAATGCAAAAGCCATTGAAATCACATAGTTGATTGCAAGTCTTTTGCTTTATGTACATTGTAAACTAAACTTTAATGAAAAAAAATGAGTGCATTTAGTGTAGAGCTCAACACAACGGCTGGTCAACGGACAATGTCTGTGGCCCATACCCATTTAAACCAATTAGAGGAATACCCCACCTCCTGCCCACAACATAGACTTACACACAAGTGGCATTGAGTGATTGAGGATTGGTGGGTGGTAATTGTGAGGATATGGTGGAAAAAGATAAATGAATTTTCTTTTTAATAGGGGACAACAAGGTTGCTGCTTACGAGAATTCCATTCTTTAAGGAGATAATTCTTATGTCATTTGAATGCCCTCACTGTGGATTTACTAATAATGAAGTACAGTCTGCGGGAAGAATTCAGGAGAAGGGTAGCACCATAACGCTGTCAGTATCATCACCAAAGGTACAGTGAATTTAATACAAGAACTGTGAAAATATTGGTGACTGTTATTTAAACCTTGCACTTTGTCTTCAAGTTGGCTACAAATGTTGTTATTATACATCAGACTCACTATGAAAAATCTGATTGGTCGAGAGCATTCAATCAATTCACAATAGCTTGTGAACTTGACATGAAAAATGCAATATCTGCTGCAGATATTGCATTTATCATGTCAAGTTCAACGTCTGCCTGGTTACCAAGCCCCTTGGAGTGTTCTCCTCAGAAACAGAATGGCTGAATGTCTTCTTTTGCCTATTGTTTAAAAAATGTATAATAAAGCAATTACTGAATTCGGTTTTCGCATGATATCATGAATTATCAAAACCTCGTGTCTGTATTATCTGCCTCAGCCTTCGGCTTCGGCAGATAACACAGACCTCGGTTTTGATTATTCATGATATCATGCTCAACCTCATCCAATAAATTATTGTTTATTATGTAGATTGTGCTCATGATTATCTGTCTTCTTATTGGCTAAGAGCCTACTGTTAATTTTAGAACTCATTGTGCCTCGTAAAATTATCAGTTATCTGTTAGTACATGTAGATTAGTAACTAATCTGTAGGTTTTGTAGACAATGCATAATTTCCATGAGCACATCTACCAGTACTCTTTTTGGAATAAAATAAACTGTGTTCAGTGCAACGGTAGTGTAATTGTTGTTATTTTTTCATTTGTTATTTCATGAACACTTGTAATAATAATCAGAAGAACACCTCATCACAGCAGAATATTATTATTTTAACAGTCAACCATTATATTGTCAACTTCTGAGCTGCAACTATAATTTTTGTAAATACATGCTTGCAGCAGTTAACGCCCTAGTGCGTTTGGGTCCAAAAGTGGTTGTGATCGGGAAACATTTTCAGCTAATAAAATGGATTCTTGTAGGAGACAACATTGATTGTGTTTTTGCAGGATTTAAACAGACAAGTTGTAAAATCAGATGCTGCTTCTTTCACAATTCCTGAGCTGGAGTTTGAAAGTCCTGCCTTTTCACAGAAAGGAGGTAAGGGGCTGCCGCTGCCATTTTTTTTCTTTGTGGCAGGGGGTGGTGCAGTAAGCTTTCATCTGAACAAATATAAGCAATTTATTATTAACTTGTCAGCAACCCAATTTGCTAACCGTTTATACCATTAGCCTTCACTGTTTTGTCTTTGTTTAATACATTAATATACTGCACTGTCAAATCTCCTGGTTACTGCACACATCTCCCCAGTCTCAGGTATGGGTCACCAAATCTCACATATCCACAAATCAACCTTTGAGCTTTTCTGTGCTTTAATTTGAAATTCTGAATTTCCCTAAATTCAGTTTTTTTTGGTGGAGGCAGGGGGTGGGGGGATTTTTGATTTGATGGAATGTACGGTCTCTGGTGGCATCTGCATGAAATAAGATCTCAAACTTTGGAACAGAATTAATTGGCGTGGAGGATTTAACTTGCAGGTTTGCAGGTGTGACTAAAGGTCCTATCACTCAAACTTAGTTATTTGTAATCAGTTCACCTTGACTTGCAAAATTAAACCCAGCCAAATTTTGCCCAATATGTAATCTATGCTGTGGTTTAATTTCATTCTTGTTTTAAATTTCATTTTTCTTTGTTTTAGGATATGGTAATGTTTGATAATGAGTTTGAAACAAAAGAAAATGAAGTTTTAACCAAGAATAAAATTGAACCACAACACATAGGTGTTTGTTACTGGTCAAAATTAAATTTAGGTTTATATTTTAACATAGATTGATTTTCAATGTTTTTTGTCTGGACAAGCCCTATAACATTCATGAATCAGGGCTAGGAGACAAAGGAAATTGAGAATCAATCACTTACCTAGGTTAAAAAATCTTCACCTGAATTTATAAATTCAGGTGAAGATTTTTTAACATATACATAAGACAAGGTAAAAGTGTTTGAAAATTGCTCTGCAGAACTGAACACTATCGAAGGACTTTTGGAAAGAGCCATTACTGGCCTGGAGGAACATCAGCCAGTTAGAAAGGTAAATAAATTTCAGATAACTGCAAATGAGTTAAGATGAATCCATTGATTATTGGATAATTTATTATTAATGTGACAGTCTAAGGGATGTGTAATTCTGGTTGCAATTAGATGGTTTCCAGATATGAAAATGACTGAGTGTTTTTATTTTTAGTCAGTCAAAATTTATGTCATTAAATAATAATAATAATGGTAATGATAATGATGATGATAATAATAATAATGATAATAGAATAATAATAGAAAACGATGATATTATAAATATTATAATATCATCGTTTTCTTGTGATAATGTATACCTGGCTAAACTAACAGGAAAAAACAAAAATTTGGAGGTGGAAAATATTTTTGTTGTGATATTTGATACTTGCTAACTAAGTAAAATTATTTTGCAAAAATGGTGCAGTAATAAAAACTTAAACTTGAGTTTTCTGACTCAACTGTAAAATTGCTACTGGTTCTCAAAGGCTTCTGGAAAAAATATAACAAAAAACTAGATCTTAATCTGCGGACTAGCCTGTACACAGACATTGTTTTCTTTCTCTTTTTGAAAATCAACGAGCAAGTGAGCAAAGCCAGTGTGTGAGATCAGTGCTGAATTCTGAGACAAAACAATTTTTTTCTGAACACTTTTGAATTTATTTAATCTGCTCAATATTAGTACAATGTATATTTTTGAGTAACAGTATTTAGCTGTATGTTATTCCTAAACTTTAATATATCCATAAAGTTGTATCAAAGAAATAAAACTTCTTATACTCACTAAATTTGTACTTTTGTTGACAGATTGTTGATCCAGTCCTGGCAGCCAAGATTGATGAGATTGTATCACAACTCAAAAAATGCCATGATGGAAAAATGAACTTTACGTTGATTTTAGATGATGTATCAGGAAATAGTTTCATAGAAAATCCACATGCTCCTAAAGACGATCCTTGCATGACTCTTGTACAATATATGCGGAGTACTGAACAAGATGCCAGTCTTGGCCTTCAGTCTGCAAGTGAAGATGCCACAGAAGAAAATACCGCTGAGAAAGAAGGTGGGAAAAGTTTTAGATTATAGTTATTGATTGCGGGTGAAAAGAAGAGCCTGTGATCCTAATCTCCAGGTTGTTATTATTAATCTACATTCAGAGTTTTTATGGGATTTGAATATTTAAAAAATAAGTAGAAAAACGTTTGTGTTGCAGACACTTTAAACCTTCTATATGTAGAGCTACAATTGGTCTAGATGATGCGTGGGCCGGCAGCAACTCAGGCTAAAAAACAATCAATAAAAGTACTTTTTGTATTTTAGAATTTGAACAAGTGTCAAGTATTTTTGTTTGTTTCCTTTTGAAGATGAAGACAAAGACAACAAAGTTACAGATGAGGTAATAATTGAGTTCATAAGTCACTAGGATTATATTTTCTCATCATGGGCACTACGATTTATAGGTAAATACCAAACACGAGTTGTGTTTACACAAGTCAGCAGTGACAGAGTACAGACATTTTCCCAGACAATTTGCCCAGGAAAACAGCCAGCATTTCGTGATGCCACGGCTAGTTTCCCTGTGAAATGGTACCCAGTGGTGGACTCGACAATGTTGGCTTGGTCCAAAAAGATCCAAAACTGCCCACAACATTGTCTTTATGTCGAATACAACAGTGCCTTCTATTCTTGAAGCTAAGTATTAGCCTCCAAAGTTTGGGCATGGGTAGAAGACAAAATTTCTGTCTCTCCTTTTCGTGGCTTTCTTTTGCTTTGCTTTTCTTTCTCTATTTTTTCTTTTGCTGGGCAATTACAAGGCTTTGTTTTGATGGGAAAAGATTTGCACAAAAATCCCAAGGATAGTGAAATTATTCAGTAAAAGGAAGTACAGGTGGGCAGTGGAACAAGATTCTTATTGAAGTTTTTTTGTTAATCTTTTGATGGTTTTTTTTTCCTTTGTCGGGTATTTGGTGTGGAAATCATTCATTCTTGCTCAATTTTCAGTGCAGCCATGCAGGGGTAAACGGCCTACCCTCCCTCCCTGAAAATCACATGGGTCATATTACTAACAACCCTCTAAGCTTACCTGTCCCAGCTTGGCTTAGTCCGCTGATCAATCATGTTTATCCATACCTTAATTTGAATACAACTGACCATGAATATGAATGTTTTTTAATAGATTATGGATCACTATGAATGGAATGTAACACACTAGATCTGCCCACTGCCAAACCATTTTTTACCTACACACATTCGCCTCTGGACCACCCATAACTGCTGTACAAAAAACTCTTTCCCCTGCACAAGTTAGGTGTCAGAGTTGTTTAGGACCATTAAAATTGATGATGTTAAAATAGATAAAAGCGATGTCACGTAGTCTCTTAGGGGGCAAACAAGTGATAAAATCCTGCCGATTACAAGAAATCGGGGTCAAGTTTATTCATTCTAAACAACAGAAAATGAAAAAAAACATTTCATCTTAAACACCTAATGTCACAGTGCAGTGGACACGCCCAAAAGAAGGAAACTGCAGCATCACCATGTATTCATTCACGGTAATGGCAAGTTATGGGTGGACGTGATTATTGTTTAATACTCTTTTAGAAGATGCAGTTGCGACCGTAGATGTTCTCATAGCAAGCAATAATGAGGTAAAACTTGTCAACACTCGAACTGTACATTTTGCTCGACTAAAATCGTCGTTTTGCTTTAAGAGAATAAACAAACTTGACCGTAATTACTCGTATTGGGAAATTTTATTAATGTTTACCCCCTGACATACCACGCGACATTGATTTTATGCCAACAATCCTAAAGCCTCTTCCAACGATGGCGGGTGGATGGTCCAGATGTTAATGTGTGTGGGTAAAAATGGAGTGGCATTGGGCAGATCTAGTGTCATACATTCCAAATATGATATTATGTAAACAGCAGTAATCTGTTCAACAACATTCATATTCATGCTCAGTTGTATTAAGGTATGGGAAAATGATTGATCAGCGGACTAAGCCAAGCTGGGACAGTTTGGCTTAGGAGAAGTTAGTAATATGACCCACGTGATTTTCTGGGTAGGAGGGTGGGCCGTTTACGCCTGCGTGGCTCCGCTGAAAACTGAGCAAGAATGAATGATTTCCAGGCCAAATCAGCATTTATCATCAAGAGATACGCAATCGTTCTCGAAACTCAGTGTTTGACTAGCCACGTTAAATCTCTTAATTACGAGTATTTATGCAAAGTGTCTTCACATATTATTGAGTGTTTCTGAATGGTGAGCCTTTGTATGGGTACCTGCGGACGTCGATTTCTCCGCGCGTTTTCATCGAATGGCCTTTTTTTTTTCAGGCGAAATCGTCGCATGTCAAGAATTGTTTTACCTGCTAGCGCTACCAGTGAGTTCAGCGCAAAGTGCAGCACACTTTCTGGCAGGTTTCTCTGCCGTCATTGCAAGAGTAGCTTTGTCAAACTTGACTGAAATGGCAATGCGATCGTGGCTTCAATCTCTACTACTCCGCTTCGTCAATGGCGATCGTCGCGACTTCGATTTCGTCGGAATTCCATACAGAGGCTCAATAGGGTGCAAGGGACGAGACTTGTATACAAATTGATGATATTGCTCTTTTCGTTTTGCCACTCAGGTGTTAAACTTTCCAACAAACTGTTCATCGTGCAATGCACCAGCCGAGACAAGAATGAAGGTTGTTGGTATCCTTCCAGCTAGTTTCAGTTGTTGAGTTTTGACAGTTAACATCATCACCTATTCCCGCAGCTGCTGCCTTTCCCATGTCACACGCGTCTTATTTTCTTTTGACTTTATTTTTGCGACCCCCCTACTATCTGGGAGCCTGATACAGGCTAGTTTACAAGCTGTTCGTCTGTATATTTCAATGTGCATTGTTTTGTTTTTAAGTCTTATTAAACATGTCAAAAGTTGCGCGCTTTAACTTTTAAATCAGCTATCCCTCACTTTAAAGAAGTGATTATCATGGCGACAAGTTGTGATGCTTGTGGAGATAAGACAAACGAAGTTAAATCAGGCTGTAAGTAACAATAAGATTATTTTTTTTCAATTTTTGTATTACTCTTAATGAAAAAATAAGGATAGAAAGACAGAAAGGGAGAGCCCTCCGAAGGGCTTCCTTGCAGACTGCACTTCATCGATCTTTCTTGGTAAGCAATTTTATCCACCAAGTGCTTAACAATCGCAAGGAAAATACACTAGGCATGCTAGGTGAATTAAAAGGGTGATTCTTGCTGCAAATATATTATTTCTGGTTTACGCCTTTTTTTTGTAATATTTCTCGTTCTTTAAGCCATTAAGCGAAACCGTCGTAGAATAGTGGAATCGGAAAAACGGAAGAATCGTACAGTCGGAAACTTTTTACCATTAGCACGTTTGGATAGAACCTGACAATATCACACTACAGTGTCTTAGAATAGTAGAACTGGAAAAAATCGGAAGAATCATATAATCGGAGACTAATGTCTTTAATACAAGTTTACTGACTTAATCGCAGAATAGTAAAATTGGAGGAAATCTTTCAAAGATTAGTTAGTTTTATAAAATAACTAAGATAGTACGTTAGTTCTGATTGGTTAAAAACCTATGGTTTATTGTGCCGGTAACCTATAGAAAACTTAAAGTTATTTTATTTCGGCTCGTGATTTACAAGCTTTTCTCGTGTTTTCACAGCTTCTCCCAACATCCCGCCTGGGTTATCACGCCGGTAAACCCATAGAAAGTGTGGTCTATTGTTTTAATAATACGGAGAATATAGTACCCCTAAATCTGTAATCGGTTATATACTATTCTCCAATTTAGCACCTAATGTGTGCACTGCTCTCTGGTCGCCAAATGAAGCCTGCGAGTAAGCTCTCCATTTATCGCGAGCGAAGCGATTCGTAGGAAACGTCTACACGCAGGTAAAGCGATCCGCGACAGAACGCGCGAGCGAGCCGCGAGAGACGGCGGATCGCGTTCTGCTCTCGCATGACTTCTCGCGACTCCCCCAATGGTTACCTTGCTCGCAGGCTAGACCTATGCAAGTGCTGCTTCTAGTGAGGCACTAGAGATTGTAATGATTATTAGAGTGAAGTTGTGTTTTTTGTTCGCAGCTGGAATTGAACCCAAAGGATGCAGACTAACTCTTAAGATAACAGATCCTGAAGATCTCAACAGAGATGTTCTCAAGGTACAGTTTTACTCTCTTAAAACATTTTGTTTGGGGTGGCTCGTACTAGTTTTCTCGCGTGGGGATTCCATCGCGCACGTGCATCCCACTCCACTTTGTACGCGCAAGATACAGAAAACGACACAGAAAACAACGTTTTGCAAAGCATGTGAATTTTCCGCCATTTTCCTCAGATCTTTCAAAACAACTAAGCTGACGCAACCTCGTCCTCAGGGCTTGTCGTTTGCCGTCCCTTTTTCTAGCAATAGCCTGTACCATTGACGTAATTGTACCAGATAACGCAAACGTCTTCCATATTTGTCATCGCCAGCTGGTAAAGAAGAACTGATTAGGCGGGGGATTTGAGCCAGTTAGAAACGGAGAAATATTTTTGTGTGAATAATAATAATAATAATGTCTATTATTTTCAGTCTGAAACTTGCGAAGTACAAATTCCGTCTTTGGATTTTGTGACCCATGCTGGCACGTTAGGTGGAAGGTTCACGACATTAGAAGGTCTGCTCACAAACATCAAGGAACAGGTGAGGAACAAAGATTACCTCAATAGTTCAAAAGCAGTTGTTTTGAAGACAGTCAAACAATCGAGCTTTAAATGTTAACTTCACTTTCATTGAAATCGGCTGGAGTTCTTTTAAGGAGATTAAAGGGTGGCTCATATTTTCTTCCCCAGAGATGCGATCTTTTTTGGCCAGCGCCTCGGATAAAAAGCGCTTACAGGTTCCAGGATATCGCGCAGGTGCAATAGCAGCTGTCTGTATATAACCGTTGGTAACGGTATTAAGTTTCTCAGGTTGCGTAGAATCTCAGCTCTCAATCCACCGCGCTGGCCAAAAGGATAGCAGCACTGGGGACTAAAATGACTGTGGCCATGATAAATACAATGGTAAACTGCGCATTATTTTCTTGCAAAAAAGAAATATTAAATAGCCTGAAAAGTGTCCTAAAGTTCCATACTGGACACTTAACCAAGAATGTTAGGTGAATGGCGTGACATGTAGAACCCCCAGCCCCGTGCCATACCCCCAAGCCCAGGAGTAATTTGTGCTCTTCGGCTATCGACCTCGATAATCACAAGGAGAACACAGGACGATGAGTAGTCTAGAGTGAATGAGTGAGTGAGTGTGCGTTGTTTTACTGAGTAGGTATAAGCTCTACTTTCTAAGGCGTTTACCTCTTATAACGGGGACGTAGGGGGCAAGAGTGTGAGCTCTTCCCATTGCTTATTTCTTGATTGTTTTACACCGCTATAGTTGCAGTCTGTGAATCCGTTTGGCTTTGGAGACAGTCCTGCGTTATTTAATAGTCAGATGAAGACATTTTTGACAGGCATTGATAAGGTTTGTAACTTTCAGTAGTAACTCATGTTCAGAGAACTTCACAATTCCAAATTGTGGTTTATCTGGTGTGTAAATCGAGACACCATGATGTAAGTGGTAGGTATTACGGTCACTGAAGTTAGATTGCTAGTTTGAAGCGTGAACAAAAGTTGTTTTTAGTTTTTTGGTCCTGATTCGCACCATACCCCGGCAAGCTTTATGAAGAGTTCCCCAGCTAATTTCTTATATCTTCCTCTTTACAGATAATAAGCGGTGAAGAGCTAGGTGTGGAGATTATACTCGATGATCCGGCCGGAAATAGCTACATACAGGTAAAACAAAATATCTAGGGACAGTTCTTTCCTAACCTTAGTTAATGCTATGCTAACGCGCATTTCCTTTATTCCTGCGAAATCAAACAGTGAAACTGCACAACATTTTCGATCAATTAAAGCATAGTTTAATAGCGCGTGAACCAGAAAAATGTATGGGGTGGATATTAGTCCTTCAATCATGTGTCTTGACTTCAACGCAGACACCTGCCGAACATTTTGTATCATTCCTCAGTGTCTATCTTGGAAGTAGGTGATTTTATTCACTCTGAGGAGGGGCTGGCACTAAAGGTCAGCTTTCAGCCTCTTTCAGGCATTCAGATTTTGCTTTTTACGATGGCCAAATTCCAACCACATTTCGCTTGTCAGGTTCCTGACGAACGAACAAAATAACTCACTGGCCGTTTCAGGGACTAAATTACCAAGACCAGCACTCGCGAATCCCGTAAATAAAAATTGCGTGCAGTACAAAAGCTCGCTGCTCTTTTCCTCACGATAGTTGTTACCAGGGAATGTCTTCACATGCAGTACCCCGTTTTTTATGTGTAGGGCTTGACTGACATTTCAGTCTTGGTATTTAGCCATGGTAAACAAGTCTTTCATACACTTAGAATATATTTGACAGTCAAATACTTTTTCATTTCCTCTACTGTCAAGTCGACTTTAAGGCTCATGTTTTACCTCAACCATTCTGTAGAATCTGTACGCGCCAGACCCAGACCCCGAGCTGGAAGTTTTTCATTATCAAAGGTCAAAGGAACAAGACGATGAACTGGGAATATCAGATATGAAGACAGAGGGATATGAAGAGGATGAAAAGAGCTGACAGCGAAAGAAATTCCGTGATGAGACATTCTCTTTAAGCCACTGATATTGGAAAAATTGACGATAATGTAAAATAAACTGATCTGCATCTACAATCTTGGACAGAATAAAATGGAACAGCAAACCAAATGAAGGATGAAGCCTCGCAAAAGCCAAAACGCACCATTTTCCCATCCTTGATTTGGGAGGGGGTGAAGAGGGGGTACAAATTTTCCATCTACTTTGTCCAAGATTGTGGATACATAGTTCGCGAACGCGGACGTATTTCGGGTCGTCACCTCTCTCCTTCTCTCCCCCAATCCGAAAGTAACTTTTTGGCCCGCATGCTATTCCTCACTGGGCTAGACTGTTGACAGTCCCGTATTTTTCCGTGTGATCGTCGAGATCGAGCGCGTCTTACCATTAATGGCGGCCATCTTGATTTTCAGTTGTACCGAGGAGGCGGGCGTCGGGGATTTCTCGCCTCCTCCCAAACCGTCCCCCGCCCCCTAAGTAGATTGGATACTCTTCCCCAGGTTAGAGACTCGGTACTGAAAATCAAGATGGCCGCCATTAATGGTAAGACGCGCTCGATCTCGACGATCTCACGGAAAAACAGGGGACTGTGAACAGTCTATCACTAGGAGCGCTCTGCCTCTATTCTTTTGCAACTGCATTGTTATTGGCTAGTGTAATCTCTTTTTGTCATAAGAGCAGGTCTTCGAGAGATTTTGTGGGCTCGAACCGCGCCTGCCACGCAGACTTCCTCGTTCCCAGGGTCTCTCCATCTCCGGAGAACGAAGTTGAGCCATGTCTATAAAATAAATGCTACAGATATAAATCGCCAGGTACTGCCTTTTAATTTTCAGTAGAATAATAGTGGGTTTTGATCGATATCTGCCTGCAGTAAAGAATGCCTCGGCTTCCTCTTTCGCTTTAACTGTTAAAAGCAGCATTATAGCGCCTTCTTCAATCTAACATTTTACGCCATTCACTAGAATAACTCGAAAGGTCACTTTTTTGTGCAAAACGTTTGTTCCGCTCTGTCTCTCGGTGATGTAAATTCAGTCCTGTATTATTTGGTAGTACTTCTGGGCCCCCGGGGGTTCTGGGCCAAGTTGTTCGAAGCTCGGTTAACTCTAGCTCTGGTTTAATTGCAAATAGCCTGTGTTTAGCTGCCCCTTCCCCGCAGGAAGGTATATGAGTATATTTTTATATGTCGCATATCCACGTCATCACTTCTAGGGTAGTAATCTCGTACTCAGATCTCCTACGGCCAGTGTAAAACAGAGTGAGATCTGGGTACGAGATTAAGAAGGGTAGTTGATCCTCGTGTAAATTTCGGGCCGTGTTCTTCCTCTCTTTTGCCAATTGTGCCTTACACGATTATTTCTTAAGTTGTTAAGTTAAACAAAGAAATATCACCGAGTCTTAGAACGTCTTTCTGAGCTACTTATCTCTCCATTGGAGTTAAACTGCAACTCTCTAAAGAACACCCGGGGGCACTTCCGTTATTATCCTTAACGGGTATGCGCCGCTGTTGAAGGTATGGTTTTCAGGGTCTTGAGTCTTTAAACAAGGTATACAATTTCACCGTTTAGCTTCTTGAACAAGGTGTGTTTTTGAAACAAAAGCCTTTATAAGAGCTTGATGGTTGGCGATCAGCGTTCTTCATTTGTGGCATTAAGGCCATCCCCTTTTTTCTCTTTGTTTACCGTCGAATGCGTTTCTTAATATTGGTCGGTTAGTCGGATTGAAAAAAAAAAACCTAAAAAGAATCACAAGAACTCTCGGAATAGTAGGCCCTGCTACCCCAGGACAACGTTAAAAGTTAACATTCACATATTTGGATTAACAAAATGTACAATATGCTGTGAAAAATGTTCATGTTTTTGTTCCTGTTTTTCTCTATTATGCTTTTTCTCATTTTTCAGAGAAAAAGAATTATTTCAAGTGAAAAATGGTGTAACTACGTCGTTCCTGTTTTTTTTTTAAATGCCAAAAATTTGGGTCGGTCGGACGACGGTAAACGGGAGAAAAAAAAGAGGATGAACTAACATCTATTTTTTCCAGAAAAATCTTATTCCGTGATCGTAGTTTATCTGAAATGATCACATTAAAATTCCGAGTGCAAAACGAAATGAATCAGATTATTAAATGAGGTATCTAGGTAAAAATTAACAAGTTTTTTCATAAAAAAACAGGGTCAGAGGCCTCGGCGGCACACCTCTACTCAAGTACATACCCACCTCCGCCGGGAAAGAAGTCAAAGAAAGCAGGTTCTTGAAAAAAACCATTATCTCACCTTCAAGCTCCAAGCCTCAAGCTCGTGTCCTTCTTCATAGGAATATTTTAAAGCACAAAGGAAAAATGGCAAAATAGGCGGGGGGGGGGGGGTTAAATAAAAGTATGGTGGCATTAACATGTCAGCCGTGGAAATGCTCCTACTCCTCCCTCTGAAAAATGATCTTGTCCGTGGCAACGAATGTTGCATTATGGGTAGTTGTATACACATGACATCTTTGTTTTCAAACGCCTTGGAACAGAAAATGTACCATTTTAATTTTCTCTTTAATGTTCAGTTTTACACCTCGCTTTGAAAACAAAAATTCAGCATTATTTATATTTAATGTTCCATGAATGGAAAACCGCGAAGAAAAACAAAACAACGATATTGTGGAGGGTAAAATAACAACATTTGCATCACCAACTGTTTTGGCTGCCATATTGGATGAACAAATCTTGGGCGAAGGTGCTGTGCCAAGTAAAGTCGATCACAACGACGAACGGCAGAATTCAGGGATGGTGGCCGACAGCTTGGATGTTTCTTTAAACGATTCTCTGGACTCGACGAAATTGCAAGAAAGCGGAGAAGTAATTGGCGATGTTGTTGATACCGAGGAGTTAATTGGAAAGGATCATACAGTCTCACCTTTGGGATTTCCCGAAAGAGTTGTTGATTATCCGAAGAGTTCAACGCCGGCACAAAATGAAAATCCTGTTGATGAAAAGAGTAAAAATGCCGAGAAAGCACCTAAACCACGTCGACCACAGCACATCATCGAAAGAAACAAGGAACAAGTTGGTAAGCGAGCATCGCAGAGGGCTAGTTATGCTCAAATGCATGCAATCAAGACAAGAAATAAACTCAGTAAAGATAAGGAAAAGAAAGCCAATGTTGAAGGAGACCAGAATTTGGATAATACACCAGGTTTTAACTCAGAGAGTAAGCTGGATAGTGTAGAACGGAATTTTAATCAGAATCCCAATTTTCCAAGTGATCATGTGGATCAAATTCCCCATGGTGACACTATGAGCAACTCAAGCGTTGATTTACAACAAAATGAAAGCTATTTGCTAGAAAACAGTTATTCAAATGGTACACATGATATTTTTCAAAATCATGGACCGTATTACGATGTCAGTCAAAATTCCAGACTTCATGATAGCACTCACCAGTCGAGTTATTTTGACCAAACTGGAACTTACGGTAGAGGTTATGGAAGTGCAATGGGGTATTTAAGTCAGAAGCCTGTTCCACCATTGTACCATCAGAGTTTATCAACCCAGTCAGCACCTCCAGGAGTTTATGGTTATGAATGCAAACCATTAAGTAACAGTTTACATACTTCAAATTTCAGTGAAGAAGGTTATTATCAGTCAACAGTTTTACCACTCAATGAGTCCGATAAAGGGTTTAAAATACCAGAATCCAGTCTCCATAGAAAGTTTTCCTCAGATCCATATTTAGCTCAATCAAGATCTACGTCATTGCAGAATATAGCAAATGTTGGTAGAAACAGCAAGGCGTCTGGAAGCTACTCTAATTTACGGCAGCCTTTTGAATACAAACCATATACTTTAAAGGACTACCAGAACCTTGCTGGTTCAAAGACCAAGCCATTGGCTGGGGGCTTGGGACCAAATATTGACACTGATGATTTCAAGGAAAAGGTAAAGGCCTTGAATTGCTGGTCAACCATTTCAAAGCTTTCTCCAATCCAGGAATAGCTATTAGGAAAAGCTTACTACGGCAATCCTTTTTAATAGTCAAGCAGGCTTTTTCACTTGACTGCTCCTTCAAAGTTACCCCATGTCTTTAATTTTCAGAGCAATTAGAGCCGATTATAAGGTCTTTTTCAGCTGGTGCATTTAGCTGGCATTCAGCTCCTAGTGACATCCCTGATTATGACCAAACTGTAGTTATGAGACATAATCAAACAGTTAACTCTGCTTCCTAATGAAAAAGTAATGTCAATAACTAAAGAAAAATAACATTTGAAATGCTATGAAGAGCAAACTCAGAATTGATGTAGATGATAAGATTCATGTTAAGTTAAATCTTTGAGAAAGTCAGCAGTTTTGGCAAGACATTGAATTGATGGCAAGATCCCTTGGTTGAATTTTCAAGATTGTTTTTAGCAGTAGCATGAGAAAGAAATCTGGACTCTGGAACCAGGCATAGATGAAAATAATACCGACCTTGTGTTAAGTTATTACACCACCATAAAGTGTTATTAAAAACTTGGGAATTTATTATGACAGATGTGAACTTCTAAAGAGGTAAGAAGGGCATTAGCCATTTAAACAATAACCAAAGGATGTTAATAGTCAGCCATGCATATCTCTTTGATCTTCTGCAGACAATGCCTTTTGCAAGCTAAGCTGTAGCGTAGTTCTCAGAGTGACCTGAGAATCAGACTAGTGAAGCTACAGCCTGTGGGCTATATCCGCAGTTACTAATAATAATTATGTTCTTCATTACTTTGTAGATGAAGAAAATAAATAAACAAAGAGAGTATGCTACAATGTTGAGAGCTCAGCATTCAGCATCAAGAAAGCAGTGGGGAAGGAAAGGAGCTGCTTCTGCCCCAGTTAAGGCAAATCATGTGATTGAGGCAGAGAAGAAGAGGGAGGCAGTAAGTATAACAAGAGAGCAAGTGACAATTCATGCTAAAGCAAGTTTATATTATTAAAAACATAATGTCTTGTCCCTAGGGGAACATTAAATGCCCCAAGGAAAAAATAGCCTGTGCAGCTGGCGGTATTGTGTGATGAAAGTTTTGGTGGCGGAGCCGCAATCCAAAAAAGGGAGTAGGGAGGAGGCGTATTTCTCACGGCTTCGCCGCTGCCAAATCTCACTCGACTGGTACAGCAGCTCTGCCGCCAAGTCTCACTGGACTAGTACACAATACTGCCAGCTACGCAGGCTGAGGAAAAAATTGCAATTTGATAATATTCAAATTAACTCAGTAAATGTTACCCTCTGTCATCTTAGAGTTTGCAGCATTACCCACTCCAAGACTGTTTTGGGGGGTTGGGGGTGGGATGGGAAAAGTGTTGTTTCAGTCAGACTTTGAAAGGGCCCAATGAAAGTGCCTGCTGTTGGGGAAAATATTCCAGGTACTAGTATATGAAAAAATTTATCATCTTATTGGAGAGTAAAGTGGTGAAAGTCAATTTTAATATTTTAATGCTGGTTATTCGGATCAATTGAGGTTTCTGAGTTACTGACCACCTACCCCTCCCTTAAGTAACAATTTTGCCCCAAGTGAGAAGTAAGTGTTAATGTTGACTTTCGAGAGGGGTAGGTGGTCAAATACCCAGAAACTTCAATTAATCTCGGAGCCTGGAACAGGCTACTGATAACCCTGCGATAGGATAGAAACCTGTCCAGGTCGGGGCCAGTGGTCATTTCATTCCTTGGGAAGGGGAATAAGCTATGGTCTGATGGTCTACTTAACTCAAATGCATGCTCTACATGTACTTTTAGTGTCAGCCTACCTTTCTTCAGTTGTTTTCTGGGACTTCCTCTAAGTGAGGCACTTATGGTCTTCCTAAGGAGCCCGCTGTAATTTTAATTGTCTGTTTGCTTGTTTTGTAATCTGATTGATTTGAGGGGAAGAGAAGCTGTTTTGTACTTTAATGAAAATAACTTAAGTAGTAGTTGCTGCTAGCTAAAACTGACACTAATGATTATTGGTTTAATATAATTTATTCTTGTTTACTTTATTCTATAGGCTTTAAACTATGCCAAGAATGTCCCCAAACCAAAGCAAATGAGTAGTAAGAAGCGAACTGGGTCTGCGGGACACAAAGAGGAGAAAGGGGGCGATGAGGAACAAGAGATAACTGTGCTGGAGATTTTAAGAATGAGACATGAACAGGAGAAAAAAGAAGTTGACATTATAAGAAAAGAACTGGCATCAAAGATAAGGTTGTAATTTGTTTGACACATGCGCAAGATGTTGTGTTAATGATGACTGTATGCTTGCTTGTCTAGAGACTTGTGATCTATCTAGGACAAATTACGGAAGGACCATATGGTCATAAAATCTGTTAGTGCTTAAATAATTATGAGCAAACAGATAGGTGACCTATCTGGATGAACTGCCTACTTAGTTTGTTATAAAAGTAGATCTATCTCCCGGTCAACTGTTTGTTTGAATATACACAGACAAATGTACTTACAAAATATGAGTTAATTTTGTTTATTTACATTCACATATATTATCCTGCAATATCTATAACAGACATGTTCGCAAGCTATTCCATTAACAAACTAACAGTGCAGTGGACTTCACTCCCTAATTATGTTAGATGCATTAACTGACAGACAAATATCCAGCTTGGTTTGTCCCAGACAGATCATCCCTCTAGCTATATGATAAACATAAGAAAGAACTGTACAAAAATTGTCCTAATGTGTCAGGGATAAAAAAAAAAACAAATTACAGAGCTCCCACATTTGCTTGCTTGTCACGTGGTGAATGATTTATGTTACAAGATAACTTGCCACGACCGTAACCAAGCCCATTAAGGTGATGTTACATGGTACGATTCACAACGACAAGTTTTAGCGCTACACAGCGTTGCAATGTTGGAACAATGTTGTAACTATTCGTAACTATTCAAAACAATGCCGCAACAATGTTGCAACACTCTTGCGCTAAAAATCGTTGAATATATTATAAAAATATATTCTCGTCGGACATCGCCAAAAAAGGTTGAACTTTATATCCTTAGAATCGCTACTTTGTGAAAAGCAATATTCAACCTTTCGGGTAAAACAGAGGACATGCTATGCTAATGTAAAAGAAAACTTTCATTACCCAAGTCAATGTTGTTTCGAGAGTTTGAGGATTTAATGAAGGTAGATTTTTATTCTTCCTTACCGTAAAACGATTTACGAGAAAAAAAATTATCCGGACATGGTGGGATTTCTTCGGACACTAACAAAATTTGGTTGGCCAATGTCCGATGACTGACTGTTATTTGCAGCCCTGTTAAACAGCCTGAGAGTCATAAACCACTAGCCTGAAAAAAAAATTGATGAGCATTAATTACGGTTCTTGGGTAATTTGAATTCCCTAAAAAACTTCACTTGCCCATTGGGCAACTTAAGAGCAGAATTCAGTATCCCGATAGCAAAATCTACTGTCCTCGGTCTATCAGACCCTTGTTTCTTTGCACTCTAATAGTGACAGCAAGTGGTAAGAGACATCTGTATTTTGCAGAGTGGTAGCTTTGCAGTTTTATAAAGCACTGAATTTCCTGATCATCTCCCGTGGAAGTTTTAGCAATGAAACTTAATGGGTTTCTTGTGTGATGATTTTTTACAAGGGCAAGTTTGATCATCAGCTGCCTAACGTACCTATTTAAAATGATATTTTATGTATTTATTTTTATGTCAAAAACAATGTGTATCCTCTCAATGTTGAAAAAATAATAATCTATGAAAATGCTTTCAACATACATAATATTAGTGGTTTTATTTTCATCAAATGTAATTTTTCAGTTGTATTGCATAAAGGATGTTTATGTATTTAGTAAAAAGTGATAACACATTTAGAAAATGACAATATACAAAGTTAAGGTAGTTGAAATAATTTATTGTTTGAACAAGCCATAATAATTTTGATTCATGTTCAGGAATGTCATTCCAAGTATTTTATAATACTTGTATTCCAAGTATTGTCTGTTTTCAAGCAATGTACACGCACAGCACAGCAAAACATTACCAACCAAACGTAAGGGCGATTTTGAATAAGAGCTGACCAAAACGAAAAAAAAATTCACTTATAAAGCACTTGTGGTAGCTTTGCAAAAATAAAAACTCAAGACTTTTTACCATTTTTCCCGACTTCATCTCCTTTTTCCAGACTTTTTACAGGTCTGAAATATTGCTGGGCAAAGACTTTTTCAAGAATTCAAGTCTCTGTACGAACCATGTGTAAAATTTGACGTGGTAGCAGAACGACCCGCAAAAAAGAAGCTGAACCAAATCAGCTGAACACACTGTAAAGAGTAGAAATAAATATGCATCATCGTAAATCACAGCCTTTATCAGATAGACACGAGTGTTTTACTGGAAAATATACCACTCGTAAAATTCAGAAAAACCACATCTGGGACCCGAGTGGTTTATTTTCCATAGTTTATAGATGACGTAATTTCGGTAATTTCCCTCTAATATTTTATCGATGTCATTTTGTCTATATAATAAAAAGAACATTACACGGCGGCTTGAAGATATGAATTGTATTTTCTCGTGGTAAAAACAATATTTTACTCACTCCCTGAGCTCGTACGTAAAATATTGTTTTGCCAGTCGAAAATAACATTCATATCTTCGCGCCACCGTGTAATATCCTCTCTATAACTCTGAAGTTTCCCAATCGGAATGGCGCGAAACATTTGATTTACCAATACTACCGGAATTTCCGGTTTTCTTATGTAAATGTCAAGTACCACAGGTCACAAAAAAGATGGAAGATACAATGCCCGTATCATTTTCTCCCAGTACATATTCTTTAATGCTCTTTGCATGTCTATGAATACAAGCTGCATGGGATTTTTTATTCACCTGAATCCTTTCAAATTTTCAAGCTAAAAATTGTTTAAATCCGGCTCAAAAGATGGTTAGCGTCTTGTTTAACCACTATTCCACCTCTTATCATGTGGGATCCTCATCAAGTACACTAGTTTGCTCACATCCTGAAGACTAAGCTGTCCGAGAATAGAAAAGGCGACAAATCGATCCGGAATGCAAGTTCTACTGACAAAGATTTCGGAATCCAGTACCTCCAATCCGGAATCAAGAATCTAAGACTGTTTTGGATTACCTTACAAAGGGCAAGACAAATTAGGAAGAAACGGCCTCTCGCGCTCGATTTTTCTCTTTTCTTCTTCCCTTTCAACGCTTTCCACTACACAGGCAGGGCCGTAGCCAGGAAGAAACTACAACCGAGGAGAACACACGGTCCGTTGTACAAAATCAGCCGTATGAAATCTTCTAATATTATCAGTCTGATAAAAAAAATAAAAATCGACAGTATTTGGTAAAATTTTACCGAGGCGAGTGCCTCGGTTCGCCTCATACTGGCTACGGCGGTGACAGGCCAGGCACAATAGCGGAAGTTATTCTGAATAATTGCCGTAAGTTGTATTCAATCACTGTAAACAAACTGGAGGTTGCACTCTTATTTCCGGAGTGGTCATCTGTTCAGTCCAAACGACAAATGGAAATCCTGAGTACTTAGAGTTTAATCTTTTGTCCTCAAAAAGGGGGACGGTCGAAGCCGCACCAACTTCACCCTGAAAAAAGTAAAACAAAAACCGTTCTTCAAATACGCTTGTAAACCAACATTTTATTGCCACCCATCAGAAAAATTTGCACCCAAAAAACTCTATATTTTAACTAAATTATTGTCAGTCTCGCTTGCGTAAGCAGCGAGACTCATTCTGCAACGCGTTTTGTGTCGTATTTAGGACACAAAAGGGGGTCATTGTGCCAGGCGTTCCTAGCGGAGTCCGTGGAAACTGGGACTAAGAATCGTTGCGTGATCAAAGCCATGCATGTTTTCCGAAAAAAGCTTAGGAAAGATTAAATTAAGAACTTTTCCGAAACGCGTTATGAAGAGAATACCAAACAAATTTCACCTGGGAGCACTAACCACAATTATTAGTCTCGCTTGCGTAAGGAGCGAGACTCATAATCTGCAACGTGTTTTTCGTCGTATTTAGGACACAAAAGGTGTTTTACTTTATGTTGGTAGCTCCCTGACCGTTCACAATCCTTTGTTTTTTGTTCATAAATTGTGACAAAATAAATTAATAGGATGTTTCTATTAGTCAGTAATTTCAAAATGATAGGAATGCTTTTGAGCGTTGTGTACGGTCGGGTCCAAAAAAGCGAACAAAAACATGAACAAAAGAGTTTAACCGGTTTCGTAACCATTCCACTTTAATAACTATGGTTAGGCTTCATCTCAATTTCATTTTGCACGCACTGTCCCGCCTCGAATAGCCTTGAGTCGCTGCGGGCAGTGCCTCTGTGATATTATCTGTTTATTTTGAATTAAAGTTTGTTGTTGGTGTAAAAAAAGGGAGGAAGGGCAGGGAGGGGAGGGGGTGGAGCTGTTGATTAGTTTCTTACTACATGACGAATATTATTAAAATTTGAACTTCCAAGAAGTGCTACAACCAGTTGCATAAATGTCGAGACACTCCGACGAAAAAACTACCTTTCTTGCTTCAAATCGCTGCTAGTCACAGGGCTGTGAGATATAATAATGATCTCCCTCCTCCCTCCCATTCAAAGTTGTTCCTTAAAGTTGTGAGCATTGTCTTGCATTGCTACCAACTTTCATAAAGGGAGGAGGAGGGATCACAAGCACAAGATCACAGACTGGCCATTTAAGCCAAAATACGGTACAGTGTCTCCGGTACTTTTGCAACTGGTTGTAGCTTGAGTTACCTTTCTGTTCAATGCAATCAAGGCCATCTCAAAAGGTTTTGCTGTTGTTCCTGCTTTCCGCTGTGATTCTTTCACCACAATTTCACATGATTCTTGTGGGGAGTATCCCTGTTCACATCAATGGCAAATAAATTTAAAGTACTTTTTAAGTAACTTGTTTCAGCGACTGGGAACTCTCGGCGCAAAAAACAGAAAAGTTCTCCAATAATTGGGTTTAGTTTGCTTCTTTTCTTTTTGGTATCTTTATGGTAAGTCTGCATAAAGTCACAGATTGCTATTGCTAATTTTCAAATAAATGCGTTCTATACCTGCGGAATTTAACGGTGTGTAAAGTTGCAGCACAAGATATAGATTAGCCTGTGCATACATTTTAGAAATACAGTTGAACCTTTCCACAACTGCCACCTTGGGGACAAAAGGAAGTGGCTCTTGTAGAGAAGCTTAGACAGGCAATGTCAGAACAGTCCGCCAAAACAAATTGGCCGTTGTAGAGAGGTGGTCGTTAGTGGAGGTTCGATTGTAAATCCCTTTGCAAAAAAGCGCGTGACTATCTTTGCCAGGGTAAACTAACTCTAAATATTAAAAGGAAAAACAGCGCAGTTGCCTTAAAACTACTATTTAAAAGCGTTCAATGGCACATTTTTGTGTTCTGCGGAAATTGCAGAACAGCCAATAACGGTCGGTCAACGGACAATTCTGAGGAGAACGTCGCCACTTACATGTGCGCATGCTCGACATGTTCTGCAGTGGACGTGACGACCGTGCCAGTGTAATGCTAAAGACTACCATTTTGTAGCCGAAGATTGCACAGTAATTAAAGAAATTAAAGTCAGGATGTCGGAAGACTTTTCTCGTTTGTACGAATAAAATGATGACCTATTCGGGCACAAGTCCTTTTTAAAAGGGAAAAAAATATTAGCAGGCCTCAAGAAATTGTAGCGCGCAAAGCAAGTATTCCTGTACATAAACAAAACACAAAAATTGGGACAAGAAAAAAATGCCCCTGACGTGCCTCCATCATAGTCGAACATCTTTTCAAAATATGACCACCAAGGGACAGACCCTTGTGAGCTCTTGTGTCCACATTGTAGAGTATGTCCATCTAGGAGCCATTTTGAATTCAAATTGACGGGAATGATCAGACGAGAACGTACAAAAAATTGAAATCCTTTAAAAACTCTTGGAACAAAAAGAATAGCCTCCCAAAATCGCATTTTGCAGGGGCGTAGCCATCCTTTCGGCTAGTTGGAGGCCTGGCTGATTTTCATTTCCACATATCCTGAAAATTGCACACATGACTAGTACGCACTGACCTCACAAACACTTTGAGCTCTTAAGCTATTAAGCTCACCCCAACAACACATAATTTATCACATGAAGTGGTAGAGTGATCAAACCGACAATTCGTAGGCCCGTGCCTAACGGCCTATGGGCTGGCTACGCCTCTGGCATTTTGTATTTTTTAGCCTCTCTCAAAGTAACTAAAAGTGTGGTATTTTCTGAGAGTGCATGTACGTTAACGTGAAACGTCCCATTCAGGGGTCTTGAGGGCTCACATCACCAAAAAAAATTTCAACGTAAATTAGGCAATCCCAAAAATACTTGCTAAAATCGTTCTAAACAAAAAATCTCAAAATCGTTAAATTTTAAAACCCCCGAAGGCCTTCCATCATCCCCGTCACTGTGTATCCTGTGACCCCACCTTCCCACTCTTCTTTGGGGAGGGGGGTTGGGCTATCGTTCTTGTTATGGAGCAGGGGCTGCATTATCTTTGGAATAAATATCTGAAATGTCTGTGTTATGAAGGAGTACATGACGAGAGGCTTATAGGAAGTGTCGTATTTGTAATAATGATGATGATGATGATGATGATGATTGGTGGGTTCTTTTGCTCCAAAAAACCAATAGAAATTTTTTCCTGATTACTGAAAGTCACGATGAAACCTATACGTACCTGTTTCATCAGCTGGACTGTATGAAAAGCTGGACAAAATCTCATCATATTGTCACCATCGCCAGTTGCTGTAAGTTAAAATAATCAGCATGGTCAAGGGAAGAGAAAGAGTATAATTTGGGAAATCATCTTCACCATCGCCACGCATGTAGACAGCTCACCGCCAACCTTCACATCCTCGCTCGCAGACTGGCAGTAAGTATGCAAGGAGAATGGGGCAGAATTTTCTCTTGCTACTTTGCAGCTTGTTCGTACACGCTTTTATGGCTTTGCTGCTCAGTTCCCCCGTCGCCAGGCAAATTTACTGCCGGCTACACAGGCTTAAGTACCACAATGGGTGTTACTCTACTTACCTTCTCTAACTCTCCTACTTTACTTTATAACCACTGATTCCTTCAAATGCCTGACCTTCATGTTCAAAACTCACCTTCCTTAAAAAATAATACCCCCTTCCTGGCAACTTCAAGTAAACATGTTGTCATTATGTTGTAACTTGGGAGCTCCAAGCTAAATCTCACAAATAGAGAGAACTTAGAGCAAAACAGACCGAGAACAAGATGCAAAAACAATCGTCTGGTGGAAACTGACTTAATATCTTTAAAGTTAGTTCAAAGCTGTGTGAGTGCATTATATGCACTTAAATATTAGAGTCTTCGAATTCATTTATTTATGACAAAACATTGGAAATTGATGTCATTCATTTTCACCTGAGGTATACCTTGGAGAGTATCTTTATTATTGTGGATTCTAAATACCGTAAATTGATCAATGATCAAATTCAATTGATCACCACTGCTAAGTAGCTTGTTTTGAAACACTTTTTTTAGTCTGGTTGTAAGCTCCCCGAATATAAGCCCCCCGAATATAAGCCCCTTGTCTATAAGCCCTCCTTAAACCCCTTACAAAGTTGTATTAGCCCACGGCTTATAACCGGAAGTTTATGGTATTGTTAAACTGACCTGCTGCAGCTCCAACCTGTGAAGAAGAGGAGAAGGAATATTATTATAAATATTTTGACAACAATTTTATTATCATTGCAGTTTTGACAACCCAGTGGCTCAGTCCAACAACAGACATCTAATAATTTTCAAAACATCCTTAGGCTAGGAAACAAATGTTGCCCAAAGGGGGATGAATTTATTAGAACGCAAAGCTTTCCAAGAGAGGCATGAATGTTAGTTGTTGTTACTCGTCTGCAGCCATTACCTTCAGCAATAATATTATCTGGGGCATTGGATAATGTTTTACTATGTTTGTGACATAATCGCATGACAGTTTGATCAGTCAATTTCATATTCAAAATTTTATAGTAAACAAGAGCAACCTTTGCTATCAATAATAAACTTTAAAATCTGCAGTAAGAACTTCACAAATAACTGCTTTGCACCCAGCTGTCCCAGCATGGTTATTTTCCAAATAACAATCATACTATGATTAACATCAGAAAAGATCATCAAAAGGTCTATTCAAGATGGGATTTCTTGGTTTTATATGCTTTCCCAGGGTTGTCAGAAAGTTTTGACGTAGACAGCTGAGTTGTCAAAGTAAGTCCAGGGATATTCTATTGAAAAGAAATGCCAAGCAGAGTCGCCGGCTGATATTAGCCACGTAGGCAGCGATTTTTGCTGGCAGCCGGCTTCTTTTGAACACCCCTGTTTCCTCAAGCGATTGACTGGACTTCTCTTCATTAGGGAAACAGGTACCTTACCTCATCATCAGCATACAGTCCAGACCCAGGAAGGGGTGAGTCCCCAACTCGACCAGGATGTTTAAAAGCCTTCCCACTTGTTGAAACACCTTAAAAATTACAGTTTAATATTAATAAGAGTTCAATATGTACAAAATTGATCAGCTACAACAAAAATAACTATGGAATGGAATAAACTATTAGCTATGTTAATCAATGCTTGATATTATGGCTAGAGTTAAAATAAGTCAAATAATAATCTTGTACCTAAGTAGACAAGAGTGAAAAAAAAAAATAAAGCCAGTTTGGTCCTGTGTTGATAAACATGACATGCAGGGTACTGAAATTTTCTTTGTGACCTTACAACTTGCCATTGTAAGCGTTGCACAATGGAGTCATTACTTTTACCTGCAGTTAACTGCATTTTTGAATCCAACACAAGAATCCCTTTGAAAACAAGAGCAAACAAACAAATGATAAATATGGTACATGTAAACGGTGAAAAATTCATTGCATAAGGTTCAACGTAACCTGTTAAGGACATCTCTTTTTTAAAATGTAACCTAAGAAGAGAGACAAAACAGCACAGCACAAAGCATGGTTGCAAGTGGGGGGTGGGAGGAGTTGAGGAAGGCAGAAGAGAAAAATCAGAATGCACCCATGTATATAAAGTTATTAGGTTACCCCTTTTTGCTTTATTTTATTATAATTTTTTTTTGACATGATTAATGTACTTTTATAATATTAAATTGTTGGGATTAAAAAGAGCAGATAGTCGCTTGTTGAGGCATTGAAACTTAAAAACGTTACTCAACATTTATCAAGAGTGAGACACCTTAAGCTAAGTAATTTAACATTAAGTTTACGTTAATATCACTATTCCGCTTAAGATACGCATGAGAAGGTAACACAACTAAATAGCGCACACAGGCAAATAAGACAATTACTACAAGATGGCATAATAAGGGGGGGACACAGCCCTGTGGCAGGTTCTAGCGACTTCAGGTTATGCGCACAGCAAAAACACTAGCCTCACTTATCGCCCCACTACCGTGGGGTAGGACAAGAGTATTGGCAGAGCCTTTCTTATCTCCCCAGCGCCACACGGGCTGGATCGGACAAGATTAAGGCAAATGAATAAGATGGTAAGACACAAGCAATACCAAAAGCTTGGGGGAAGTCGCTACGCAGACTTAACCGCACCACAAGGAGTAACCCCCCAAATTTTATTGATACCTAACACAACAAAACTCCTCCATAGGGAGGGAGGGTGGGTAACAAAATTACTGTAACTGTTTGCTTTCGTGCAAGCTAGGCGAATAATTTCCAGGTCTGAAATAGCAGAACTTTATAGCTAGACAGTGTCTCAAATCTCGACCAATGAATACAGTTGTACCATAAGCGACCTAGACTTATCATGATTAAAGTCTAGCCATGAATAGGGCCTTGAAAACAGGGACCAATCTGCGCGATGCTAAGAATAATATGATGACAAACATACGACAAATTAGTCAGGTTCCAACCACGACCAGCTTTTGCTTGTATCTTAACATTAGTGTGCTTTCGTTCATAAATAAGGCTTTAAAGATCGAACAGAGCATACATTGGGGCAGGCTACCTTAGCCTACCCCCCCCTGGGGCTTCATGTTCCATTAACTACATTTACCATCTGGTAAATGTCTTATTAAGTTAATTTCTCGGTCCTCAAAATATGCAGAAACAAATTTGAATGCCTTGTCTACGAGATGTTACTTATACAAGAATGCAAACCATCATTGAATGTGCAGTTGGATTCGATTTGCACTAAGTTTTTCTATTAAGAAATCTAAATAACAATCAAGCATGCACGAATACAATCTAATTTATTCAAACTTCAGCTCTTTTTTAATAAAAAACTTTGAAACTTAACATTTCTCACTCTTCAATAACTGATAACGATGTGTGATACACTGAAACATTGACTAATATTTTTACAAAAATTTTTCCTTCTTAAAAAATAAGAAGAAAAGAGACTCTATTAAATATTTCTAATAAAAAAGGGTGATAAGAGGTATTGAACCCGGTACCTTTGGGTCTGAAGGTGACACGTTAACATCGTGCGCTACAAGGACAACAGAAATGACCTTACATTCATTCTTACCCAGGTGCTGACATAGAGTGTTACTGGCTATAAGCCAGTAAGCTCAAAAATCACTCAATGTGTAGTTCCAGAAAATATCCAGACCCCCACCACGGAGGGAATTTCACTTAGGACCCCCCCACCTCCCTGGATTTTCCATTTTTGCAGGGAACTGATGACCCCCCCCCCCCTCGGAATTTCCACAAATGTGACAAAGACCCCCCAACCCCTCTGGAAAAGTTCATTTTCACGAAGAAAGACTATTAAAGTAGAAGAATGAGGCAACTTATGGTTAGTACCCAACGGTTTCCATCAGAAGCTTGTAAACATGCTTCTGTATCCATTTATTTGAGTGATCTCGCAACATTAAAACACACTACACCACCACAAAGTAACCTGATCTGTAATTTTTGCTCATCTCTTACTTTAAATGAAACAGAGAAAGTTAACAAGTCGGTTATATTTGTGAATTTACCTTAATCAGGGCAAGCTTCGATTTGTTATTCGTCTCATGGGCGTAATGCATGTTGATAGAATTACCGTATTTATTCGATTAACCGCCCTGGGCGCTTATTAAATTTTTGGACCTTGAGAGTGGGCGCTTATTCGAGGTGGGCGCTTATTCGAGGCTGGGCGCTTATTAAATTTTCAACATTTTCAGCAAGTGTAGTATGTGTATTTTCCAACAAAACAATAAATGGTAATAACAGAACGCGAAGATGTAACAAAGCAAGGTTCCTGTAAAATACTTTGAAGAAAACTCCGTCTTCGAGGAAGTCTCTTATTAGTATTTATTCAATTTTAGGGGTGGTCGCTAATTTGAGTTTGAGTGGGAGTGGGAGGAAGGTGGGGTGGGGTGGGCGCTTATTACCTTTTTCTGCCTTTAAGATGGGCGCTTATTCGAGGTGGGCGCTAATTCGAGGTTGGGCGCTTATTCGAATAAATACGGTAACGCCATTTCGTGCGGGAATGCAGAACAAGTCAAACTTACGACCACAAAATTAATGCACAACAAAGAGGAGAATAAAAACTCTGAATTCTGAAATGATAACAATGAATACCCCCTGCATCTTGAAGATACTTAAGGGAAACCAAGTTCAATTTACTGTTTTTCGATCGACTGATGCGACGTGATGCGCGATGGCCGTATAAATGTTTGGTGAAATCGACACCATTTCAGCGAGAATTCGATCAAGAACATGCCAGACGTTCAACCACAAAATTAAGGGAAAATGGAAAGGAGAATAAAAACTCTTCATTCTAAAATGGTTACAATGTATAGCTTGTGCTTCGTGAGGCAAAATTGCCACTCTTCCGATCTATCGATCGACTGACGCAACGTGTTGTGTTGCGTGATGTGTTGCATGCGTTGACGTTTAGGGGAAGACTGGTAACGAGTAATGGCGGCCGAATATACGAGCATGCGATAACACGAGTTGTAGTCGGTCTAATTCCTTTGAAATTACATCCAAAACGCTTTTGGAAGAAAGGAAACCTGGTTAAGATTAAAAGGAACAATCTTAAGTGATATATTTCAAAATATTTATGTCCTAAAAATGATCTACCAGGTCGGTAAGAAGCAATGGTCGATCTCAGATCGAAAACAAAATGATATTGCCCCCCTGGAAAGTGATTTTATGGTCCAACCCCCCTCCCTCCTGGAATTTCCTGGGCCTCTGACCCCCCCACCCCCCTGGAATTTCCAATTCCCTCCGTGGTGGGGGTCTGGATATTTTCTGGAACCACACAATACAGAATATGTCTAAAGGATAATACAATGCATTTCTTAATAAGGCTTGTATGCTTTAGCTCTCACCTATAGTGTCATGACTTCCTACATCTTTGTCTGATTTTCTGAGAAATTCCTACTGCAAAAGAAACAGTCATAGTAAAGCAAACAACATTTTGTTTTTGAGACCAGACATGTTTTGATCAATACACATGTACCTTCAGATTATTGTCAGTTGTAAGTTTTTAACATTTCTGATTATTACCATGAATGATGATGTTAAGAAATGAACATTGAATTGTACTTATAAATAAATATTTACTGATTATAATAATATCATCTTGTTTTTAATTATTAATGTCTCATTAATTGAAAGAGTAAGATAACAATTTTTTTCCACCTGCAAGAATTAAAAAACGTTAAAAGAAAAGCAAAATGGATATATTCACTAGCTGATAAAATAGCTCAAAATCAACACATTACTGAACAGCAATATTATTTATGACTATTTAATATCACTCTGTGTGCGGAATTGTTTTATTTTCTGTTTAAGAACAACAGACCTAACATGCAACCAACTAAAAAAACACGTCACTCTGGTTGGGAGAATAAAAGCAAGAGATGCAAATCTTAAATCACTTTTCTTCACCTCAAATGCTTCTATTGATTCATGTGTCTGCAGTGCTAAATTTGGTTCCACAGGAAACCCATTCTTAACAGCATATTCCTGTGCACCTTGACCCACAAGTATACTGTGAGGTGAGTTCTCCATAACATGTCTCGCAACTGCGAGGGGCTTTGCAACTCTGTAAATTAAAATGATGGTTATTTTAATAATAATAATAATAATAATAGATTTCATAATAATTATGAAATCTACCTCATCATAGCATTAATGCCAATCAATGCTCTAGTTTCTCCTCTTAACAAAAACTGAAATTTCCAGGTGATGCGGTGGCTCTGTTATTAATACAAGTGCATTGAGCTACAGTGTGTGATACACTTTTCATCTTGATTTGTTTGGTTTGAACATGATGGCTACAAAAATTTGAAAAAGGAACAACAGATATCACTCGCCAATAAATGAAATAAACTGATTTCACACTGAGTTGGTAAATATTTTTTACGGAGCACTTAAGTAAACCCTGCTGTTCAAAGAAAATCGCACATCACAGGAGTTTCAGCCAAAACTGCTGAGGGATCCATGTTTTTCAAATAAGGCAAGAAACAAGTCATAAGACTACGGAGCAAGGTTTGGAGCAATATTTTTTATTTATAATTGCTTCTAAAATGAAAGAGCACCATTTAAAGAATAGCACAATCGGCAATCAGCTCTGTGTCAAAAATTAGGAAACACTAGAATCACTTGAATGCCCCAAAAAATATTCAAATTGGTGGATCATCCTACCTCAGAGCAAACACAATTTCAGAGCTGAATTCTGAAGGACTTTCTAGCAAGAGAGGATAAATCCTCTCTTGCTTTCTAGTTACAGACTCTTACTTCAACCAGTTCTAGCCCCCAATCTGTAAGTAACCACTACATACTGTCACCTTACCCCTGCAAAGCAGCTACTGCACCGAAACAACAGCTTTTCCCTGTCATAACAGCTGCATCACACTCCAATATGCCACTGGAGTTGGGCAATCCTCCTCTTCCAACAAAATAGCACCCAGTATCAGGATTTTCCTCAAATGCTGAAGATGAAAAAAATATGTAATTTTTTTGTGGTAAAATCTTACATGTACATGGGTTATTACATGTAATAATTATCCGCAAAGGTACTTTTTTCCATAAAAATTTCATGAATAATCTTTGTTCACGCTTGAAGATTTCCACCAACAAATTAATGTTTTACCCCTAAAGAATTCAAACATTTTTCCCTCTACCCCTGAAGAATCGTTCCTCAACTTTTAAAACTTTGATACCCCTAAGAAATTCTTTGCTCCTTGACTCGGGGTGTCATTAACAAGGTTTCTTTTGCTGAGAAAATGCCACGGTTAATTAACTGACCAAAAAAGAATGCTCGCAACGGATAAAAATAGTCAGAAGGAAACTTTATTCCCCATCGAATAAAAATCTGGCCATGTAACCTCAATTTCTCGACTCTCCCAGCACGACGTTTTCAGTGGCCTAACAAGACTAGACCTGGCTGAAATGTTTTAAGAATTTTAAGCTGTGGGTGTGCAAAATTTTAAATCCTTAAAAGGATTCAATTACCGCAACGCTAGCTTATCTCTTTACTTTAAATAATGCTCCCTTAACCTTCCAATGATCAAAGACCGTGATTTATAGGACATTTGCATCATCTTCCATTTTGTGGACACTTAGCTTTTATACAGACATGTCATATTGAAAGCGCGGGATGTATGCATTCCATAACTTCTATGACTACAAGTGGCAGCCTACCCTGCTAGCAGAGTCGCTTCGATCTAAGGCTTCTTCTTTCCCGAGCTATCTAGGGAAGATAGAAGCGACATAGCTAGCAGGGTTGCAGAAGGTCCGGCAGCAATGGACGGTGCAGAATCGATCGGTGAAACGCCCGAAACATCGACGATTTTGAGAAAATTCAAGCCAACAGTTCCAATTAATGCTGGTCTTACCGTTGATCCCATTCTCGAGAGCATCAAGCCCCACGCTTCCAGCACGCAGCTTGTCGGAAATCAACTTTACTGCTTCCAAACTGAAAGACCAAGTTCCAACAACCACCGCCATCTTGACCGTTCGGCTGATAATGGACTGGTAACTAGCCTTGTCCCCAGTCCTCACCACAGGGCCGACAGATTTTCAAGTTACGTCTTAAAAAAATAACGACGTGACGTTTAAAAAATAAACTTCTGTGCAAGTTTTCAACGTGATAGCGTTTTCCGTTTTGAAAATATAGCTACCCCCGCGTGCCATCAGGGACCTTGCGTAAAGGACGGCAGATGGATCGAGAGGACGGCAAAATTTCATTGTGTGACGTGCATGAAACTGTGTTCGTGAGTGACAACATGCTTCGTAAGTTATTGGACGTAATTTCCGGTTTATCACTGCTGTCCTCTACGTTCCCCGGGTGACGTTCAGGACGTGAAAACAAGGAGACTGAAGTCAGGTGACGAAAACGTGACTATTTTTCACCACTTTTCTTCATCTAAAGGTTTTTGTTTTTTCGAGCAAATGATAGGAACTTATTAGTGTTTTATTCACCGTCCTCAACCGTCCTCTTAAAGATAGGATCGGACATGGATGACGATTGGGTAGCCTGTTCCTTGCGCCGGGTCACTTATAACTAAAGCCAAGGGTAGACTACGAGTAGTCCCTCATTTTCCCTCAGGGATAGTAGAGCGAGCGAAACGCGACGGCTTGGGAAAACTAAGAAGTTCATAGCCAATAACCTTACTGCTTAACTGACAGATGACCAATAACATCGCGACTTAATTGACCAATCAGGTCAATAACTGAGAGTTAATACCATCAACTGACGTGATGCAACTCACTTTCACTCTAATTTAAAGATGTCTACCGCACCGGTTGTCGAAACTCAGTTGACCAGTGTCAAGTACAACAGTCCTTTTCTGGACTACATTCACCAGGACCTGGACGATCATACTCAACCTACTTATCTGTTATCAATTACTTTATTGTATAATTATTAACATACCTATCATGCTATCAATTATTCTCATTCTTAGGGTGCGTTCACACTTGGTGCCAGAGAACTGGTGCTTGAGTACGGTACTCGCTAGGCATTAATGTGCACACACCTTTTTTTAAGTACCTGCGCTAAAATTCGGACACGGTGCCGGTGCTCGAGAACAAGGTCGAGACCTTGTACTCGGGCACTAAAGTGGGCACCGGGTCCCTATGTGCACCTGCTTTTCCGTTGTTTCCGAGGAGTTTTACCCACAATCAACTTCTTCACATACCCTAACTCCTTGCTACGCTCCTTTTGCAAAAATGGTGTCTGCTGAAAGAGCAAAGTGGACGAAAGACAACTTGGGTACCCAGAGTGTGGACAAAGCACCATTTTCAGTGGCGGAGCCAAACATTCAGATGGGGGGGGGGGGCGGTCATCCAGACCCTGAGATAAGGGGGATGCCCGGTCTCAAAAAAATTTTTTTTCGTCCCTTTGCGTCCCAGTTTGGTCTAAAAATAAGGGGGCGTCCCCCGCCCCTAGATCCGCCACTGATATTTGTAACCGTGCCCGGGGACTATAGCCCTGGCACTAAGTGTGAAGGGACCCTTACTTTATTATTAACCTCTCATGTAAATTTAAATTCAAATTTTAGAATCCGTTATGGTTTTTTTCTTTTAGTGTATCCCTGGCCCTGAGGAAGGCTAATTTTGTTGGCCTTAATTATTTTGTCTTGCCTCAAATAAATCAGCCCATCGCCGTATTGCCAACCTTGCATTCATTTTTTATGTTTTTTGTTTTTAGATTTTAACGGTTTTTGGCGGGGAATGACGTCACATTGACAGTAAAATTTAAACTTCGAATATTGACGTAACAGAAAGGTAATTTTTAAAGAGCACGAGGGGACAAAACGAATGTGACAAATACAATTTTTTTTAATTTGAACGACTGATGAGTTAATGGTCACGTGAAGTTTGCTACAACTGTCACTGGGTAGCCTGCTCATGACCAACGTCAACTAGCTATAGTAACCAAAAATATGTCAATGAGGAACAAGTAAAATATCCTTATCTACTGAGTACGAAATCGTTGTATTATTTCGGATACTGAATTAACGGACTCAAGTGTATTGGAATCTCTACGCGTCAGAGGGATCCTTCTCATCGTGTCGATCCGAACAAAAAGCTTTCGTCATACGTCCGGGAAGCTTCTTGTTTGAGAGTAAGCGAGGGGTACATACTTTCAGACGTTTACACCTCAAGAAAACATGTCCTTTTGAAAATCTCGTTTTTGTTTTGATTTTTTTATTTATTTCGAAAATTAAATTTGTGTAGGTAATTTGGGTTGAATCAGGAGCCGCATGACCTTGGGTTGAATTGATAGCAAACCAGAAGACCGATAAGATTTGCAAACGTAAAGCGAGGGCAGGAAAAATGGAAAAAAGGCGGGAGTCGAGGGGGCCAACTCTTTGCTCCGGTACTGCCGGCCGGGGACCTGTTCCTAGGGCTTTTCCCTTAAACAATGGGAGGAGGGGGATCGGCCCTGGCGACGGGGTTGGGAAGTCCTGGTAATCACTAGGACCGGAATACCGTTGATGTTTGCCGAATTTCTTTTCAGGATCAAGGTTAACCAGTAAATGAAACAAAATGGGCTGATGATTGAGAGCTAGGAGCAGCACCGCTAACTCTCTACGTGAGTCTTTGGGGCGCTACCCTGGTTGCCACAAGCTAATTTTCGTTGCGCGATTTCCGCTTTAATTTCTCGTCGCAAGCGAGAAAATCTAACCTCTGGTACTTGGGGTATTGGATCGGGGCGCGAAATGTTATCAAGAATTTCGAGAAATGGGCTGACCGTTAAGGTCGTGTAAGATATATATCATTCAAGTGCGAGGGAAAAAAGTGAAGGAAACAAATGTAAGACTTTCTCAAGTTTTCAATCAAATGCACTGTACTTTAAGTGATACAGCTTGTACTTTGCGTCAATGGAGCCTTAGGGCGTGGCAAATAAGCAAGTTATTTACAAGTGCTTCTTTCATATTTCTTATTATACATAATTATCTTTTGTTTTATAAATCTACTCGCTCTTTAAAAAGGACATAGAAAACCTACTTTCGCTCTGTTTTAGAAATATAATCATTACACACAATATATAAGTTAGCATTTAGCTATGAAGGCGGTTTTGTGGAGACTTTAGTTCGAGGCTCACTGCTGAACGTATAATTCGTTCAAAATGGGCTTCTTTTCTGTATGCGAGAACAAAAAACATTATACCTACATGTACTGCTGACGGATTACACGTTTTGATTCCGAAGATGACATGAAATCTAGACTATAAGTGTTAACCTAATCAACGGTATGCACTTGGGATGCTGTTTTGATCTGAGCCTCAAACAAGGAGATGCAAATAGAAAGTCAACATAAAACCGCCCCCGGCAAAACTCTACTTGCAACTGGTTTCCCTAAAGTGAGATTATGGAATATCTGCCAAGTTTCGTCTTGTCTTCGCAGATAAGTGGTTCTTTATTTTCGAGAGAGTCGAAAGGTTCGCTTTCTAACGGAGGAAGCATAGCACAAATCTGAGCACGTTTGTAAGATGATGTTCGAAACACTTGTTTATGAGGGTTTTGCTTGTACGACGGAGTCCGTCGTAGAGGATTGTGGCGATTGTCAATATGGAGTTGCTGTAACTGATGATGTAATGGCATTGAATAAAGAGCTGGTTGTTCCGCTTGAGAGAAAGCGATTTTCTGTTCGTCAGTTAGCTCCATTCTCTCGTTAGTTCGTTCCTGCTCGTTGTAAGCCATGAGTTCCTCGTAATGTTTTTGAAGTTCTTCCCGCATTTGATCATAGTTAAGTTTATATTCAGAGTGAGCCACCTGCTGATCGGAAATTTCCGAGGGTGACAGCGATTTTTGATACTGTTCCTGTAGTCTCTGGTGCTCCTGTTGTAACTGTTTTATTCTATTATTCGGACTGGACACTCGTAAGTGCTGTTGAAACGCTAACGTTACAGCATTGCCGTCGGACGCCCGTCTTCCGAGCGGCACATGACCGTTTCTTCTCACGGGATTATGAAGATGCTGTCCCGAACCTCGAAGAGCCACTACGGGTGGCGTCGACGTCATCAGGCTATTACTGGGCCCACAGTGTGAGACCACAATAGCAGGTTTTATTTGAAAGGCGTGAATGTTCGATTCTTCGTGGGTTTCCTCTGAGCGACCTCGCAATAGAGGATGATTCTCGGGGAAGGCTAGTGACTGCTTAGGCATAGAATGAACAGTATGACGCCTAACTTTAGGCTTGTCTTCTTCATTCTCGTCACTGTCCATGTTTTCCAACGTAGGAGAGTCCGTTTCTCTACTAACACTATTGTCAAGCGACAAAGGCGGTCCTACGTTTATCATCTGACGCGGTGAAATTGAACGCGCCTTGAGTCCAGGCTCGCGCATTGGAGAAAGTTCTTTTACGCACTCCGTGGCGATTTCCCGCCTTATTTCGGGCGGCGTGGGAATGCGTTCGTGAAGTTCGTTGATAGCGTATTGGAGGGGGAGATAAGGCCGCGGAGGTTGGGCTGGGACGCTGCGCTGTACGGCGCGATTGGGTACTACCATAACATTATTCCTGCCACCACGCACAACGGCAGCCTCCGCGATTCCACTTGGCCGACGTAGTTTGGTTTCAAGCTGAGTTTGAAGAGGGTAGCTCGCCCTGTGTTGACGAAGTCGATCCACAAGTAGATAGTAAATAGCGGTGTGGTGATCGTAGGCGTTTTCAGCAAGGGCCTGTTGAGGAATAAATAATTGGAATTACTAAAATCATAAAATCAGTGAACAGTGGTAATCTGAGGCGCTCCAAACGAAATCAATAATTTCCTAGCAAGTTCTTACATTTTGCAGACACAGCAAACTTAAATCGAAATCCTATGGTGTTACCTTTCAAATGAAACTTATGCTGCCCGAACTTTTGTTTCTAAGGATTTTACAAAAAGGAATTGGATTTATTTTTAGCCACTCCTTCAGACTGGTGGGAACGGATAGGATACCTAGTCAGTAAGGCTAAGTATCTTTCTTATGGGTCTTTATCTTTGAGGACTAAATCTCTAAAGAATAGGGGGCTTACTTAGTATCTGAGGCTGAATAAACAGATTTTGAATGCGGTCTTTACCGTTCTTGTTCTTTCGATGTCAATACCCAATCCTTGCATCAACTCGAGCGCTTGTT